GGTCCTCAGGTGCCGGAACCACTATCCACAGGAACCAGTGATGGTGCCATCATGGCTGCCAGGGTGAAGACATTTGCTGCGCGATGCTGACAGGAACAGGAAGTGAACACGGAGAGGAACACACCTTCCTATTTTCCCAGGCTTCTGGCTGGCAAAGGAGAAGAGGTCTGCAGAGTCCCAGGGCCAGCATCAGAAAGCAGAGCATAAAAGAACGAGTTTAAGGCGAAGAGAAAATAATGATCAGCACTCATTTATTAACTCATCAAAACAGCACTCCCTCCATAAAGATGTTCTTCATTTTACCCCAGGATAATCATGGGCACTGTCTCCTTTTTCTCAGAGTTAACTTACATGTTGCCCTGGAGTCAGGCACTTGTCTTACTCTCTCCCCTGTCCACTACCACCCTCCTCCGTCACAGTCACACACCTCGCTCATCTCCTCATCTCCTGTGACTTCTCAGTAACTCACTGTTGAATCCCCACAGCCTACAGCTATAGCTGGCACATAGCAGGTATATATATATATAAATAAATAAATAAATGGCTAATTGAGTTAGTGAAGAACTTGAACTGAACTGACCATTCGTCTCAGGAAATCAGGCTTGGGTGACACCACGGACTTTTGACTACGGGAATGCGTCAGTTAAACAACATGCCACTTGAGGAAACAAAAGAAAATATGTTCTTCGTGGAGGGACTGACCTAATTTCAAACTCTGGAAACTTCTCCCTGCCTTCCCCCACCCCACCCCTGACCATGTCAGAAGCAAGATGTGTGCCAAAATCCCATGCACTTAAGTGGATCCAAACCCTAAAGTTTCACGTAACTCGGCAAGTGTGGAGAATGTGTTTTGCAACCTGTACTAATACAAATAAAAATGTATTTGGCAGAGACTTGCCTGAAGAGATAAACATAGCATATTATAGTCAAAACAAAGAAAGAATGACCCCAAGCATTCCTGTGGAAACAGATGAAGTCACTCCAAATTCCCAGGGTACCAGAGATCCAACAATTCCAAGGCAGATGAATTTAATCACTGTTCTGTGTTACTTAAAAGAAAATACTTGCAAAGGGGACATGGAGTTAAGTCAACATTTGCGTATTAAGCTCCTGCTGAATACCCAACTCTCTACTGGGTGTCGAGGAGGATAAATTAAAAGTACACATGATGGTAGGAAATACGAACCCTGTCCACAGAGAGAAGAATTAACATTCATGAGACAATTAGCCAACCACCCCTGCAAGTCTACAATGCCGAGTGCTGTGGGACGTAGCACTCAATCTAAGGGGACTCGCAGCAATATGTGTGGGCGTGAGGAGAGCTTCTTAAGGAGAGTGGTGTGTGCTAAGGGTCCCAAGGCATGCATAGGACTTGTGCAGAAATGACAGGGGGTAGAAGAGACCCCCACCTCCAATTTTGGAGGGAGCAGGATCCCAGGCAGAGAGAAGAACCACGGTGTGTGCAATGGGCATTAACAGGTCCGGTGTGCTGTAGCCTGGGCACATGCAGAGCAATGGTGAGACCAGTGAGATGAGGCAGAGCATGAATGCCGGTGGTAAGCACAACATAGTGGGTGGTTTAGGAAGAGTAATTTCCTGAAGCATCTGAGGCCCCAGTTCCAGAAACACAGCCCTGGAGAAAGAAAAAAAGAAAGAAACTACTGCTACATGCAGAAGAGTTCCTCAGAAAGAACCAAGTTGAGCCTGTTCATTTGACAGGGCTGGGCGGGGGTGGGGGAGGGGGTCTGCATAGCAGACCGCACCAGGAAGACAAATCCCCATAACTTCTGGCTGTAAAAACCAGTGGGAATCAGGGCAGTGGAAGAAACTGCCTTATTTTCAGAAGACTCCCTTTAAAGGGCCTACAAGGACTTAAAAACATACACAGAGACACCACCTCTGGAACTCAGCACCAGGGCAACAGCTGAAGGCGTGCCAGTCACACAAGGCAAGCTCCAGGCAAACCTCCAGAAGCCAGGCAGTGGCAGTGTCCTCTCTCCGAGCCCTCCCCCAACACAGAGCCACAAAGCAGTGAAGTGGGTCGCCCTGCCCTTACCTAAGTGGCAATTAAGACTCCACCTAAGACTCCACTCCACACAATGTGAACAGGTGCCTATTCCACAATAGGCCATGCCACTAAGACAGGGAGTAAAAGCAACTACCCAATACACAGAAACAAACACAGGGAAGCTGCCAAAATGAGAAGACCAAGACATATGGCCCAAATGAAAGAACAGAACAAAACTCCAGAAAAGGAACTAAATGAAATGGAGATAAGCAAGCTATCAGATACAAAGTTCAAAACACTGGTTATCAGGATGCTCAAAGAACTCAATGACCATGGCAACAACATAAAAAACACCTAGGAAAAAATGAAGGCTACACTAAGTGAAATAAAGAAAGCTCTACAGGAACCAACTGTGGACGGTAGGAAGCCAGGATTTAAATCAGTGACTTTGGACATAAGGAAGAAATAAGCATTCAACCAGAGCAGCAAGAAGAAAAAAAATTTTTTTTTAAAAAAAGGAGAATACTATAAGAAGCCTCTGGGACATCTCTAAACATATCAACATCCAAATCATAGGGATTCCAGAAGAGGAGCAAGAAGTTGAAAACTTATTTGAAAAAATAATGAAACTTCCCTAATTTGGTGAAGGAAATAGACATACAAGTCCAGGAAGCACAGACAACCCCGAACAAGTTGGACCCAAAGAGGACCACACCAAGACACATCATAATTAGAATGCCAAAGGTTAAAGATAAAGAGAGAATCTTAAAAGAAGCAAGAGAAAAGCGGAGAGTTACCTACAAAGGAATTCCTGTACGACTGTCGGCTGATGTCTCAAAAGAAACTTTGCAGGCTAGAAGGGACTGGCAAGAAGTATTCAAAGTGATGAAAGGCAAGGAGCTACAACCTAGATGACTCTATCCAGCAAAGCTATCATTCAGGATGGAAGGGCAGATAAAGTACTTCCCAGACAAGGTAAAGCTAAAGGAGTTCATCACCACCAAACCATTATTACATGAAATGTTAAAGAGATTTATTTAAGAAAAAGAAGTTGTTCAAAACTATGAACAGTAAAATGGCAACAAATTCACAACTATCAACAGCTGAATCTAAAAAAACAAACTAAGCAAACAAGCAGAACAAGAACAGAATCACAGATATGGAGATCATTTGGAGGGTTGTCAGCTGGGAGAAAAATGGGGGAAATGTACAGGGATTAAGAAACATAATTTGTAGGTACAAAAATAGATAGGGGAATATTAAGAATAGTAATAGTAAGTAAATGGAGAAGGCACAGAACTTAAGTGCACAGTCCATGGACATGGAACTAAGAAGCGACTGCTAGATGGAATGGGGGTACCAGGCAGAGGAGGCACCATTAGTCAGCAAGTCCCCAAACATCTATAATCAGTTCTGAAAGATCTATCTCCTAAATATCCCTCATGCCCAGTCTCCATCCTTCATCCCCTGCACTGCTGTAATTTAAGTCCTTGGCATCTCTGGCCAAGACCATTGAAATAAGCTCCCAGGTTTAGGGATCCCTGATTCTAGTCACTGTTCACTTCCATCCAAATCTGATCTTTCTGACCTGTCACTTTCTTGTTCAAAATTCTAGACCATCATAACCCAGAGGATGGTACCCAACCCCTGAGTTAACACTTCAATGTCCTTTACCATCCAATGTCTGTGTGTTGAATTCTGCTACTTCCACCTGGAAAGGAGAGACTACTCTGTGACATGACCACTGCTGGACCCTCGACCTAGACCCAGGCCAGAACAGAGGTTGCTTCCTGGAAACCCCCTCTGAGACTGTAAGGTCAAAATCAATAGCTTCCCCCTGACATAAACCAGTTCCTCTGCCCCCTGTCTCATGTGTGCTGGTTCCTAGACAGGACTTTGTCCCGACTGAGTTGAGCATTCCCCATACCTGGGTGTGGTCACATCCGCCCTATCCACCCTGCTCTGTTTTATGTCATTCTTCGGTGCCTCCCCAGCAGTGTGGAGGATATACCCTTCATCTTACAGCTGCCGGATGTGCCTCCCATGTAACTGTCCCTTAATGAACTCTGTTCATTGCAAGGCTGCAGTGGCACATTTTTGCTTTTGGCTCTCATGTTTCTGTGTCCACTGTCCACCTGGCAAGCATCTTTTCCTTCGAGACTCAGCTCTCTTCTCGCTTCATCTGGAAGCCGCTTATTCCTAGATGTCTGTTTCTTCTGTTGTGGCATTCGTCGTCTCTCCCTCCATGGGGCTGTGTGTTTCCAGATGGAAATTGCTGTCTGCTTGTTGCTGAGTTTCTAAGAGGTTCCTATAAATGCATGACCCACAGTAGATGCACAGGGAAGTGGAAGAAAGAAAGGAGGAAGGGAGGGAGGAGGGAAGGAGGGAGAATGGGATGAGGGAGGGGGGATGAAGGAGGAGGGGGGATGAAGGAGGATGGGAAGAGGGAAGAATACAGAAGAAGGATGAGCAGATATAAAAGAGGGAGGGAGCCGGACAAGTGACTTCCCAATTCTGCCCCTGAGTTCACTAGTTTCACAAACTCATCTCCAAGAATTAGCTCAGCTCTTCAAATCCGGTTAAGTTTCCAGAAAAATGGGCTTTAAACAAAAGAACTATTGGCACAAGAAAACTTTTCCGTGTAGCCCAGGTGCATAGCCTTTGTTTATATATATTCTATAGCTCCAAAGCAAAAATAACAGAATCATTTTTCCTTTAATCTCCCAGGGATTCACCTTACAGCTCCAGTAACCATATCAATGACTGCTTTCTTTTTTGTCCCCAAAAGCAAGGACCTCATTCTTGCCCTTCCCCCACCTATTTATTCTTCTGCCCTCCTCCCCACCCCCATTTCCCACCACTACCATGCTGGGTCCTTTTCTTCCTGGTAAGGTTTTACCAGGGCACTCCACCATAAGAAATACAAAGAAAAAGGAACTTCCACTTTAAGAATAATAACTCCACCCCCTTTCCCAATTATCATCCCAAAAGACATTCTCTTCCGCATTCAGAACATTGCTAGTTCTCTGGGGAAAGGCAGCAGGTGGAGTAAGAGTAAGGCCCCTCCCTGTCCGTGAGTTGCATGCAGGAGTCTTGAGTTCTAGCCCTGACATCTTTACTTATTAGCCCTGAGACCTTGAAGAAGTAACTTCTAATCTCCCTGGAGTGACTATTGCTTCCTTTGTAATGACAGCACGGAATTGATGACCCTCGGGGTCTTTCCTGTTCTTGCTTTCACTGACTCCACCACGTAGGGCGTGTTGAATAATCAGGAGAAGAAACCAGATTTAGAATCTTATTTGCAAAAGTGGTAGGGAAAAAAAACAATGAGCACCAACTGTTAATGTGTCTCTCTATGTTCTTCTGTTAAGGTGAGGGTCCTGACTCTTAAACTTCAGCTGGTTATTTCTGCTGAAAAGTTGACGTGTTCAGGAACAGACTTCTGAAGAACAGCTGTCCAGACCCTGCTGCAAGAGGCCATGGGGAAGAGAGTGGCCATCATCGGAGCTGGTGTCAGTGGCCTGGCCTCCATACGGTGCTGCCTAGAGGAGGGGCTGGAGCCCACCTGCTTCGAGAGGAGCAATGATGTGGGAGGCCTATGGAAATTCTTGGTGAGTGCCCCACCTCTGGGACCCCAGTAAGAGGGAACTGGGTTCTATAGCAAATCCAATCTGACCGGTTCTACTTTGGATTTGGAGGTAGGTCACAAAAGTTCCAGATCTGGAAAGTAAAATGGCCCTGCTCCCACCTCACTGATGCCCAGTCATCCAGAACTATTTCTCCCAAGCCAGGCTTCTCCTGAGGAGGACATCCCACTTATTAAATACTGTGACTGGCCTGACGGAGCCCAGACCTCCGGGTTGCTAGGAGGGCTGATGTCAGTAAACAGCCCAAACCACCCCGCTGCCTCCCCGTGCAACTGAGAGGGCTCTGTCCCAACTGCTTGCTCTTCAACCCTAGGAACAGGAGGGGACACAGAAACCTACACGGGTCACAAGTCCCGAGTTCTCTTCTCAACTGTTAGGTGTGTTCTGGGCAGGCATTTCAGTCAAGTCACTCTTCTTTCTAGATCCCAAACACTCATTTGTCAAATGCAGAGGTTGGAAATGATGTTACTGCTAATGTGTCCTCCAACTCTAACAGTTATAATTCTAGAATTATGTCTATTGGGCAAACATTGTAAGCTTTTATGAATGATGACTGTGTGTATTGGGTGTGTGGTTATTGAATGTCCTGTCAGCTCCAAATCCAGAGGCAAAACGGATTGTCTCTACCATTCACACTTATTGTAGAAATGATCAAATCAGAAAACTGTCATTATAAACACAATTTTTAAATTTCAAAGCCAAGTTTGGGAAAACATCTGGCCTCTCTGTCATGACTTTCCCAACCCTTGTTATTGGATGTAGATGATATGTGTTCTGCTTGCAGAGATTAATTATATCCCCATCATTCACCCTATAACTATATTCTGTCCTGGTCTCAGTTGTAGCCCAACCTGCAACAACAGGCTGCTATAATAGAGTATACCAGTACTAATTTAGAACACATCTGGACCAATCTCAAAGCTTTTATTTTAAGAAAATTGGGGTGGTCTTATAATCCTAAACGTATTTATCACAGAAGTTATAAGATCATTAACTTTTAAATTTCATTAGGGAGTAAGCAAGAGGTTGTTTGTTGGTTGGTTGGTTGGTTGGTTTTTTAAGAATTCAGTTTTCTCTATTTCCATTTGCTCAGGGAGATATGGCCAACTCTACCTAAATCATGAAATGGTTCCCTATTACCTAATTAGTAACAATTCAACGCTGCTTGAGCAGCTATTTTGGCAAAGTTGTGTGCGAGGTTCTAGGATGGCTAATATACATGAAGTAATCACTCTGCATAAATGGTCTCTGCTCCAAAATAATCCCCAAATCGACATGTTTCCAAAATATATCTGACCTGAAGAGTGTCACATAAGAGATTATGGAAACTTTGCCACCTAGATTGTCGCCTTGGTGACTGTCAACTTAATGAATATGTGCCTTGAGGTTTGGAAGAGGGCAGACTACTAAAATCTCGCTGGGTCAGGGAAAACTTCCTGCAGGGTGGCTCTTGGCTGAGACATGAATGTCCTACTTGAAGGAAAGCAGAGGACCACCACTATGTGACACAGTGCAGAGAGTGCCATCCCCAACATAGTGTGTGAATGGCACCCCACAGACGCTCAGTCTCCTACAGGGTGGCAGCGCCAGGTGGGAGAGGTCTCCAGGCAGGGGTGACCAGCAGTCCTGAGAGGCACAGAGAAGGCACTGATCACAGTCTATCTGGGGGTCGAGTTACCAGTGCAGCCCAATCTGAGAGTTTATTCACAGAAGCCACAGAACACAGGTTGATGAGGTACAAGGTCAGACGCCGGGTTTTTCACCTGAGGAGATGTCTCTTTTCCCTGAGGTGACTGTGTATGAGCAGAAAGATATCAAAGGCCCTGTGGGGCTGTAAACCCATACGAGTAACAAACTTTAGCCTCCTCCTCACACTCCAGCCCTTCCTTCTTTTTGAAGAAGAGTGGTACAACACTCAAGCAGAGAGGGGCTTCTGGAAAATGTATTACATAAGCTTTCCTCTTGCAAGCCCTGTTGGGCAGAGGTGCTCTGGAAGAGAGAAACCTGATCATTCTGAACTTTTCACCGTGTGCTTTTCCTGCCTGCAAAATGAAATCCAAATCGGATTTACACACTAGCAGACTGAGTATGAGCACGTTTTAAGTTTCACGCGTTCTAACATGTGAGGCCCCCTGGCCTCACATGATTTTAATCTGCTGTGGTAAGAGATTGCTCAACAAGCTGTGCACAATAGGTCAGGGCATTTCGACTGCAAAGGGGGGACACAGAACTCCCTGGGCAAACATCTCCTGTTCCACTTATTCTTTCATGTGTTCATTCAGCAAGTACACGTGCGTGCACAGGGCACACGTGCGTGCACAGGGCATAGTGGCTGCAGAAAAGAGGCCCAGCGGGCAGCCAGTGTTTCAGATGCAGAGAGAAAGCGAGTGTCAGGATAGCTCCACGACAAGGGAACTTGAGACGAGGGCGTGAAGACCACCGCTGTGGTGCAGGCAGACGGCTTCCAGTCGAAGAGGAAGAAGGCAGCTCCTGAGCTGGACCTCGAGGGTATCTTTAGACCCACAGAAATGAGACTGAGAAGCCGAGATGGAAAATGAAAGGAGATAGAGGTAAACTAGAAAAATGCGCACACAGCCCTCCGGAAGTAGCCTCTGCCCTTGCCCTCAAGCCAGTTGTGCTCTAGTGGCAAAGAGGAGACACGAAGGCAGTGATGACCCTGGACAGACACGAGAAGCTGCCTGCAGCTGTGTGGCTCTCCCTGTCCAGGGCAAGCTGCCCCAGCCAGAGGCAGAGTCAGAGCTTAATATCCTCTTCACTGGCTCAGACCACCTGACATATTGAAATAATGAAAATTCAAGTTCTCCAGGGCAACTGTCTGTTTTTATACAATACATCTATTTTCTTTTGTATGGAGAACAGCCTCTTGGGGGAAAAAAATCTAAAGAGCTGCAGGATACATATTCTCTCTGCATGTTCTGATTGGCTGGGGTCCAGGGGCCAAAGGGCAGAGATTCATTAACATGGAAATCATCCAAGAGCAAAGTCTCACATTTCTTTAACCCATCCCCAGACTGCATCTCAGCCCTCCCAGCCTTCAAAGGGCAGCCAAGAAACCTCCTCTACCCCTCCTCTCAATCATTAACGACACAGGCACCAGCTGTCGGGGAACAGGGCTGGAAGAGCTTAGAACCTGCCTGGCACCACCAGCCTTTGCCATCTTGCTGACCTTGGCGGACACTTCCTAGAGAGGCTTAGAAAGTCACCATCTCTGAGCTTAGTTCTTCTGAGAAAAACAGGACCAACAGCACAGGAAGTGTTGTTTCCAACTTCGGAGAGAACACTGAGGCCTCAGGAAGCGCAGCCTCCCACCCCACCCCCGGATATACAATCCTCCCCATTCTTTCCGGAACTTTTTGTCTCCATCTTCCAGAGGACAGCAGTGGTGGGGGGCAGAGGGCAGGGATGATTGAGGGGGTGGGAGGAACGACAGATACCCTGAAGCCATTCCAAGCTTTTCCTCCATTTCATGGCAGTTCCCTCAGGATTGAGGAAAGCAGAGGCTACGGGCTATTAAATGTGCTTGTTAGGCAGGCGATTGTGTGAGCTTCAGCCCTGTCCTGAAAGCAGAGAGAAAATGTTGCTTTTCAATGAAGCCTTCAACCACTTCTCAAAAGGAGCTGCTTTTGGGGAGAGCGGGGGAGGGTTGGGCAGGTGGGCTGGGATGGAAGTAAAAGACAGAAAACTGTACTTGAACAACAATTAAATTTTTTTTTTAATTTAAAAAGCTGCTTTTCAATTACACGGAGACTTTAAAATGCAGTGCCAAGGTGGGACACAAGTTCTGGCGCTTCTGGCTTCCTGTGTTTGCTGGCGAGGGGCAATGGCCTCCAAGTGGTGAGCTAGGGCACTCCTCCAGCGCAGAGCTCACTTCCAACAGAGTGGTGGTCCTCCGAGTGGGTCCCTGGGCCAGCCATGTCAACAACTGCCTCCTGGCGGCAGATGCAAATCCTCAGGCCCCACCCCTGACAAGCTGAGTCAGAAATGCTGGGTGCGGGCCCAAGCATCTACAGCCTAAGGAGCCCTGCAGGTGATTCCAGTTTCACCAAAGTGGGGGAACCACTTCAACAGAAGGTTCTGTTGCTGTTGAAGAGCTCACTGGATACCGCACAGCCAGTCAAACAAGCTAAAAATTGTGGCCCCCTTCAAACCACTTAGCTGAGTGTTTTTTAAACACCAGAACCACTGCTGTGATAGAAAAAAAGAAAGAAAATTCAATGGGACTGAAAACACAGAGCTAATCCTGGGGTAATTAGAACAAGGACTAAGGTGGACAGAGACCAGCTCTGAGCCAGGAGCTATGCTTTTCCTTCCAGGTCTTACAGAGACCTGTTCCTTTTTGCATGAGTCTTTGGGGTTTGGTTTTTGGTTTTTTACATAATAAAAAAACTGAGGGGCACACCATTCTTGCTTTCCTTTTCAAGCCTTGCTATTCCTCCTAGGACCACACAGAAGAAGGCAGGGCCAGCATTTACCCGTCCGTGTTCACCAACTCTTCCAAGGAGATGATGTGCTTCCCAGACTTCCCGTACCCGGACGACTACCCCAACTTCATGCACCACACCAAACTCCAGGAGTACATAAGGGCATTCGTTCAAGAGAAGGGTCTTCTAAGGTATATACAGTTTGAGGTAAGAGCCTCGTAACTTGTGCTGCTGATATCAGTGGGAAGGAGAAAAAGGACACAGCACTCAGCTATAGAAATCAGAGCCAAGCAATTGGACAGCTCCCCCATCGGAGCTGAGCTGTGGAGATTGTAAAGTATCCATGCATTGGCTTTTTTGTCCCTAAAAACGTTCCCCATCAGTCTCTGAGAGCTTTTAAAACACCACAGAAAATGCTGGAGGCAGCTCTGCCACTGCGGTGTGCTTTCCACCCTCACGCTTTCATATTTTAGTGACAATCTCAGATTCTCCAGTTCTTAGTCACACTTCATGTCCATACGTTGTGGTTTCAGAAAGTGTGGCACTTGCTAGAAAGCCTTCCAAGAGAAATGAATGAGCAACACAGTCTTTTCCCTCATCATCCACCCACTTAGCTCTTCAGACAAGGAGCCTTAGGAATCGGCTCTGAGGCACTGGCTCTGCAAATAACAACAATGCTTTTCATTTGTTTAATTTTATTCTTAACCCCAATGCATGGCTGTTCCGGACAGAGCACACAGACCTAGAAAAATAATCAGCGAAATCATGAATTGGGATTACACATAATTTTACTTATTTATTTTTTGATATAATAAAATATAAATTATATTTATATAATTTTAAAATATATATCATTATACTATAAATGATATCTATCTAAAATATGTTATTATATATTTATATACATAGATTATGTGTATAAATACATAATATATATAATAAAATATCTAAAGTTCACAATTATGATTATTTATAAGTTAAAAATAAATGTGCCAAATTAAAGTAATTTAATTATAACAAATGATTGTAATTGAATTCAATGTAATCTAATTTGATTTTTGTACATACTTACATAATAGTCATATTGTGAAAGTGGCTAATGTTTCCAAAGGAGAGTGTGCACCCCAAGCAAAGGAGAGAATGAGCGAGGACTGACCCTGAAACATTCTCACGTCACTGGAGTAGATGAGAGATGGGACCAAGGAGGAAGAAGGCATGGGTGTCCCTGGGGGAGGGCCGTATGCAAATAAGACAGCACCTGTCACCAGAATACTCAGTGTTATATACCCCAAACTTGCTAACTCCATATCAAAAGAATAAACACGCCCCCATAAGTACCTTCCCTGGTGAGGTCTAAAGATTCGCTGTGACTCCTATTTTAACATCTTCCTACACGTTTCTCAACGACCAGGGGAGCTCATAACAGTTATTTCCTCCACAGAAACACTGCTGAATAAATAAATACATATAGAATTATGAGTAGAAGAAATTTCTTTCTGATTTTCTTTAAGACCCTGGTTTCCAGTGTCAAGAAATGTCCCAACTTCTCAGTCACCGGCCAGTGGGAATTGGTTTTGGAAAAGAATGGGAAGCAGAAATCTACTATTTTTGATGCTGTCATGGTTTGTTCAGGACATCATGTCTACCCCAATCTGCCACGTGATTCTTTCCCTGGTAAGTTTGGAAAATGTATAATAATAATCTCTTGAACATCAAGGTTGAAGTAGACCTTTCCACAGACTGTACATAATGATGATTCTTAAGCTGGAAAAGATTTTGAAACAAAATTTTAAGCTTGAAGCTGTGTGAAGTCTAGTAATAATCGGCCTCCTGGGCCCTATACTAAAAGAATCAAGGGCCTGTAAGCCAGAGACAAGAGGAAGCCACAGGTTCCGAGCTGTGTCTTACCTTAGACACAATGTTAACGTAAGTCCTGACTGCATGTGGGTCTCTGAGAGAGGGTATTACACCTTCACAGAAGTGGAGCCCGACTGCCAAACTGTGTACAGAAAGTCACACTTTCTTACGTCATTTATAACAAACATATTGGTGACGTATGGAGGAAATCTGGGTTTCCTAATTTCATACATGTCCACATTTTGCAAACAAACTTTAGAAATCTCAGTGTGTGTATGTGCGCGCACACAGGCACACTCTGTTACTACACAGAAGTAGCAGGCACCAGATAAATACAACACACAAGCAGCCTTCCTTCGTTCCTTCCAACAGAAACACACCTCCACTCAAAGATTCCCATCTACAGTTCCCATCTCAAGGCATGATGTTCACAGGCCAATATCATGAAAAGAGTAGAGATTCATGGAGAATTGAAGATCAAACCATCTATGTTAAGAGGCACTATATTTCCTGGCAGCTCACAATACAGCATAGGCTTAGAGTACCCGGGCTCAATACTCCACAGGTTCTCTACCACCTAACCTTGGTCAAGTCACTTATTTGTCTCAATTTTCTTGTATTTTAAAATAGAGAGAATACCAGTACCTACCATTCAGAGATGTTATCAAGGTTAAATGGTTAAAATACATAAAGCTTTTAGCAGAGTGTGTAGCCCACAGGAAGTATTCAATAAATATTAGCTATCATTATCAAAATAGAAGTTCTCATATCTTAAGGGGTCTTTTTAAGGCACTAAAAGTAATCATTTGAGGGTTTCTTATCAAAAAACCACCAAAGGATAAATGCTTTTCAACTAGGGAACTTCTTTTAAAGTTAAGAATGCCATTAGGAGATTTAAAAGTAAAAATATCAAAATATGTGAGTCTATATCATTTCTTCTGAAAATCAACTCAAACTACCTCCCATGTTCTGCTTAGGCCTAGACCAGTTTCAAGGCCACGTCCTCCACAGCCGGGAGTATAAGGACCCAGAAGCCTTCAAGGGGAAGAGGGTCCTCGTGATTGGCCTAGGGAACTCGGGATGTGACATTGCTGTAGAGCTCAGTCGCTTGGCTACAGAGGTAAAGGTTTGGGGAAACGAACCTGGGGGACAGCTGTGCTACCAAACCTACAGCCTAGGCACTGAGGATGCTGATGGTCACGTCCTACCACAAGGGTCCCCTGACCACCCCCCCATCACATATGCCCAGGCAGGGAAGACTGCAGACATTCTCCCTGTGAAGCCAGGTGAAGGGGTCCACGCTCATACGGGAGTGCATGGTGCTGGAACCAGAGGTGTGTGTCAGTGTGCATTTTTGTTTTAATGTTATGCCCTGATCACCCCCAGCAAACTGGTGACTCTACCTTAATTTATTTAACAGCATTTCTTATCACATACAATGCAAAAGGTACTTGTTTACCACTCTGAATGTCTGGAAGAGACACAAGACTTAGCTCTTACTACTGTTTATCCACTCAACAGCCACAGCTCAAAAAAACACGGGGCACTTTCTATGTGTCAGAAATAAACACAGAAACAAGTCAGAGTACTTCCTGACTTCAAGGAGCAGGCGATGGGTGGAGGCAGAATGACAGGTATGCACATCTTTGCAAAAGGGGGTAATGAGACTTTAGTGAGTGGCACCACCAAGAAAGGAGAACCTAACCCAGCCTGGAGTCCCAGGGGACTCCAAGCTACATCCTATATGACCAGTAGGAACAGCATGTTTTAAAGGAAATAGGTGCTCAATAAATAAATTCTTAGGTACATGTAAATAAAAGCTAAGGACTTTTTAAAAGTCAGACCCCCCTTGGGTCATCACAAAAGTGGTAAAATAGGCAACTGGGTTTGACTCAGGGCTGAGGCCACTGCCTAGTGTGGGGCTGCCCAGCAACATGCCACCTCGGTGTGGAGCAAGAACTGGCAAAGGAGAGCAGGAACAGAGAACAGAATTAAACCCTTGGCATCTGCTTAGCCTCATTTCAGCTAGAGATTTCACTACATTTCCTGCACCCAACCCAGCCACTACCACCACTGATTGGCTGGTTTGTATCATACCTACCATCTTAGCCTATGAGTGTATGCAGGCAAAACCTGTCCCGGGTGAATGCAGAGCCCTCCTGTTCCAACACATCAGTTCTTTCAGCAACTGTGCACTAGCCCTCTGGGGCACAGGGAGGGAGGAAGTCCACCTCTGCCTGGTTCAGTCACGCACCTCCCTCTGAGATGCGGCCCTCCTCCGATGGTGAAGGAGGTAAATTCATGGAGATATCCAGAGAATCATGTTGTATCTGCTACCTCTTGCAGAATACTTCAGAAGTTGATGTCTCCTTCCCCACCAGGTCATCATCAGCACCAGGAGTGGTTCCTGGGTCATGAGCCGGGTTTGGGATGACGGCTATCCTTGGGACATGGTGTGTGTCACCCGCTTTGCCTCCTTTGTCCAGAACGCACTTCCTTCAGCTGTCTCTGACTGGCTATATGTCAAGAAGATGAACACATGGTTTAAGCATGAGAACTACGGCCTGATGCCTCTAAATGGGTACTGCCAATAATACGTGTTTCTCATTCAAAGAGTGGCCCGCTGGTTTAAGTGGGATTCTTTCTCTCCAGGTCTTTCTTTAGTTGTCTCACTGAGGCTGGTGGGGTTACACTGAGGACTGTGAAGCTGACATAGCATCCCCAGAGGCCATGGCTGGGATGAAAATCTTCTGGAAATTAGTCTAGAGGGGAAAGGCATGTGGAAGAATCGGGGGACAGGAAAGGGGCAGGCAGCTCAGTCACCCTGCCGTGCAGAATTCAGTCGTGGCAGCTACAACCTGGACAGACACTGGAGGGCTGAGCCGATTCACAAATTACAGTGTTTTGAGGAGTAACTTGTCCATACTTAAGGTTGAATGGGGATAGAAATAATAATAATATACCTATTCCTCAAGACTGTTGTGGTATTCCACAAGATAAGAAAATATAAGACTTACTTTGTAAACTATAAAGCTTCACAAAATATTGGTTCTTAATAATCTCAAATTTTCTAATATGCTCCTAAGGAACAATTACAAAGTAGGGTTACCCGACACGTCTCATCAAGTAGGAAGTCTCAAAACAAAAGTGCACAGCTCCTCCATCAGAGACAGGCTGGCGTTTTTGCAGGACAGTCGGGAAGTACTGGGGCACCTCGGGCATTTGGGATCACAGAACTAATGCAGTCAATGAAATGAGCATGCTTCACTATGTCTTTTCTATGGAGACACAGCCCAACACCCGTTAATGAAAAAGGCATTCTAGATAGAGGAATCACTGTATCAATTTAAAAAAAAAAAGATTCAAGTGAGTAAGAAAAGAAAGGATTCACAAAGAAATTTTATCTTTGGCCCATGCTAGCAAAAGTGTTCCATTGTGTTTAGAGAAACAGGTTAAGGAAAAATAAAAGAGAACTGGAAATTGAAATAGCAAATGTCAGGCTTGGGAGCCAAACCCTCACTCCTCCCTAGTCTGGCAGACAGCTAGATCCCTAAAAGAAAACAATGGTGATTTAACACATTTAAAATTATGCTTAATGCAATGGAAGTTTCAAATCTTGAGCTGGTTACCATTTTTTTTTTTTTTTTTGTCTTGTAAAGCAAACTGCAAATTGCACATTGGCTTTGTCCTTCAGATGATTAAAACATATTTCCGGAAATCCACTCCCAAAAACTAAGCTCCCTCCCAGAAAGGGCTCCAAATACCCTCAGGAACTGACAGCCCTCACCCCTGCCTCACACAGCGGAGGTGGAGGAGGGGAGAGAAAAGGAGGCTTTACTGTGTGGCCTACTTGCTGTCACCTTACGAGGTAAAGGAAAAAACTTCAGGGCTGTAGAGGCGGTGAGCAGTCTGGGAGTGAGAAACAAATTCTAAGGTTAATAAAGTTCCTTAGGGTCTGAGATAAAAGAAACGTCCAAATCCCTGAAGGAAACTTAACTCAAAATGAAGAATGTCATCAAACACACACACACACACACACACACACACATTCCTAGAATCATGGCAACAGAAGTACAGCACCCAAGTTGTTATGCCTTCTTTTGGGACCACAGCTGATGAAAGGAAACCAAACATGGCAATATGACATCTGGCCACAGCAAATCTGATTTCCCCATGCACAATGAGAGACCTTGGTTACAATCATCGTTCACTTAGAGTAATGATGCTCGCACATGCCAACCACTCTCTTGAGTGCTTTACAGATAATCACTGGTTAATTCTCACAACAACTGTATCAGGTAGATTCTAGATATCCCCATTTTACTCTGAAGGAAACAAATACAGACAAGTGGCAGCTGGTAAGACTGGAGCCAGGATATGCATTTGCATCCTCTGGCTCCAGAGTCAGCCTGCTTAGACATTTTATTATGTCTAGGAATTACTTTCATTCTAATGCATTTGGCAAGTCTCCCAGAAGGCACCCAGAAGAGAAGTTGCCAGGAGATATCCTTAAGGTCTGCCCAGAGGAAGAGAGTGGGGTATCCTTGGGCCGACACTTAACTGCTCAAATTTGGCACCCACGCTATGGGCTGTTGTGGGGATCCCCTGGGAACGAGGCACTTCACAGCAAAGGCCTGCGGCTCTTGTTTCTTCACAGCACCCTGAGGAAAGAGCCTGTGTTCAATGACGAGCTCCCATCCCGCATCCTGTGTGGCACTCTGTCGGTCAAGCCTAATGTGACGAAGTTCATGGAGACCTCAGCCATGTTTGAGGACGGGACCACGTTTGAGGCCATTGACGCTGTCATCTTTGCCACAGGCTATACTTACGCCTACCCTTTCCTTGATGACTCCATCATCAAGAGCAGAAACAACGAGATCACCTTGTTTAAAGGCATCTTCCCTCCAGCGATGGAGAAGCCAACCTTGGCTGTGATTGGCCTTGTCCAGTCCCTTGGGGCTGCCATCCCCACCACTGACCAGCAAGCCCGCTGGGCCACTAAAGTGTTCACAGGTAGGTGGGCCATTCTGTCTCTCATTTGTTCAGTCAGTGGACATTTATTAAGCATCTAGTAGATACCAAGCACCATGCTAGGTGCTGGAGATACCAAGGGGAACAACATGCTTCTTGACCTCAGAGAGCTTGAAATAGGGTGAGGGGAATGCCAGCTGCAGTGCGAGAAATTGTAGGCTGTTCTGCTGAGGGCAGCTGGGCGGTGAGCTATTCCAGGAAGAGGGAAGAGCACGAGGAAAGGCATAAAGGTGAGGAACTGCACAGAGTGTGTAAAGAACCAGAAACACTTCGGTGTGAGGGAATATGAAACAGAGGCAGGGCGTGGCAAGAAACGGAGGAAAGAACTGGTGAGTGGAGGGCTGTATAAGCTGTTAAAGAGCTTGGACTTCTGGTGAGGCAATTGAAAGGACTTTGAAAGGCTTTAAGCAAGAGAAGAATAGCAATGAGTCACTGAATGTCCAAGTACATTGCAAAGGATGGATAGGCCGTGCCTGGAGACATGCTGGAGGCCTTTTTGCTGTCCACCTGTTTCAGAATAACAACATGAGGTCACTTCTACTCTCCAGACAATCTTCTCCCCATCTCTCCACTCTCAGCTCCATGGTCTCCAGGGACTACAAGTGTGTTTATGCGAGAAAGTCAAGAATACAAGAAGTACACAGAGAAAAGCAATGTCTCAAATATGGTGATTTAATTTACTCCAATGACATTGATTATCATTGTTATTAAAAGTGTCCTTTTATTCAAGGGTTCAAGAGTCTTGGCAAATACAGGTATACCTTACCCAGCACACAATCTATAAAAACTGAGACTATACGTAATGAAAAAACCGTTAGCCATAGAGTGTACGTATGTGCTTTCTAAAAATGTTGTGGATAAATAAGATTTTCTTGCAAGAGGACAACGAGGGAGCATTACTGTACTAGCCCTGTTGCGTAATCTTTTGTAAGGGCACTCCCCCGTTAAATGTTCCCATTGTCTTTTCTCTTGAATGGCACAACAGTGCCTCATGCCTGAGGTATTGTGAGAAGACTGGATACAATTTATAAACCAAAAAAAATTTTATATGAAACGAAAGATATCATTGATTCATTCAGCAAATACTAATAAGTACCTGCTACGTGCCAGGCTCTGTCTTAGCACTCAGGACACAACATCAAACAAAATGATCAAAATTCTAGTAGAAGCACAGCCACCATGTGATTACAGGGCACCGTCAGGCTGAGACAGATGCTAACAAGAGCTAGGATGTGTTCGCCCACTATGGACACCACAATAAATTCTCGCCATTGTTAAACGGCAAGTGAGCTGCCATCAGCAATCAGAAAAAGCCTCCACTGATGTAGTAAAATTTCCAAAAAACTAAAAAGTCATGCTGCCCTCACTTTAAAAAACTTATTTTTCAATTACAGTTGCCATACAATATCATATTACTTTTGAGTGTACAACATAGTGATTAGATATTCATATACCTTAAAATATCCTCCTTGGCTGCAGGCTGATTCTGAGAAAACCATGCTTCCTTCCCTGTCCCATTTTAATTGCCATGTACCTTAAGAGTGAACTATTGCACCAGATGATTTCTTGAGAGAATCCTTAATAAGACAACACTGACAAGAAACATGAAGAAACTGTTCAGATGTTATATACATGGAGTGGTCTTGAGTATATTGAAGACTGGGCCCTCTATAACATCACAGGAATAGGAGACTGGGTGATTCAAAGCTACAAACTCTTCCGCTGTCACCATCTCACTGCAGAGCAGCTTCGCCATTCCCAGAGCAAGTTCATGGGCCTCTCAGATCTTCATTCCTGTGAACTGCTTTCTACTAGAGATACCAAAGACAGTTCTTCTTGATACAAAATCTTTTTCCCCCTTCTTTTTTACTTATTTATTTTTGTACTGAAACAAAGTATTTTTTAAATTTTTTATTGTTGTTCAAGTACAGTTGATACAAAATCTTTTACGGACAGAGTTCATAACCACAGAATAAAATGCATTATGTGTCATTATACACTTCTGATTTGTCTTTTTCAATATTTCTCTCTTTATTTCTTTCCTAGGCTCATGTACCCTGCCAACTACAAAGGAAATGATGGATGATATTGATAAGCAAATGAAGAATAAACTCAAGTGGTAAGAGACTGTACTTGCTAATGAAACAAACAGAACACCAGCTATAATTAAACAGTCTTGCATGGGCAGATAAGAGCCATTACATTTCTACTGTATAACACTAGGTTCCCAAACAGGGGTGGCTTTGGCAAAGTCCGGAGACATTTTGGGTCATCACAAGTAAAAAAGACATGTTACTGGCATCTAATGGGTAGAGAATAGGGATGCTACTAAACACCCTACAGTACACAGGACTGTACACCCAAACACAAAAGTATCCAGTTCAAATGCCAGTAGTTCTGAGATTGAAAAACAACTGTAACACTTTCTTCAAGAGCTCCTTTCTCATCAGCCACATGTCTGTCCTAGCCACAGCAATCAGTCAGGAAAAAGAAATAAAAGGCATCCAAATTGGAAAGGAAGAAGAAAAATTGTCACTAGTTGCAAACAATGTAATACTCTGTATAGAAAACCCTAAAGACTTCACAGAAAAAAAATGAGTCAATGAATTCAGCAAAGTTACAAAATACAAAATAAATATTCAGATATGGGCCGCATTTCTATAATCAAATAACAAATTATCAGAAAGAGAAACTTAAAAACAATCCCACTATAATTGCATCAAAAATAATAAAATACCTAGGAATAAATGTAACCAGGGAAGTGAAAGACCTGTACTGAGATTTCTATAAGACATTGATGAAAAAAAGTGAAGAAGACACAAATGAATGGAATGATACACAATGCTTATAAGTTGAAAGAATTAACATCATTAAAATGTCCATACTACCCAATGTACAGATTCAGTACAATCCCTATGAAAATACCAAAGGTGTTTTTCACAGAACTACAACAAATAACCTTAAAATTTATATGGAACCACAAAAGACCCTGAAGAGTTGAAGAAATTTTGAGAAATAAGAACAAAGTAGGAGGTGTTACGTACTGTGGTTTCAAACTATCGTACAAACCTATAGTAATCAAGTCAGTATGATAGTGACATAAAAACAGAGACATAAGTCAATAGAACAAAATACAGGTCCCAGAAATAAACCTATGTGTATATGGTCAATTTCCTCCTATAGCAAAGGAGGAAAGAATATACAGTGGGGGGAAAACAAATCTTTTTATTAATCTCTTTAATAATGGGAAAACAAAACAGATAAATGACAAAAAAAAAACCCTGAAATTGGAGTACTTTCTTATACCATATACAAAAATGAACTCAAAGACTAAGACCTAAAACCATAAAACTCCTATAAGAAAACAAAGGCAGCAAAAAGAAAAAAAGAGAGAGAGAGAAAATCATGGACATGGACAACAGTGTGGTAAATGGCAGGTGGGGAAGTTGGAGGGAGATGGATGAGGGTATAAGAGAGATAAGTGGTGACAGACAGAGACGTGACTTTGGATGATGAACTTACAATACAATACACAAATGCTGTGTTGTACAATTGTGCACCTGAAACCTGTATAATTGTGTTAACCAGTGCCACCCCAACAAATTCAATAAAAAGGAAAAAAAGAAACATATACAATAAAACAGATTTAAAGATAAGAGCAAAGAAAAAAATGAGATCCAAGGAATAAGATAATTCTGGGAAGAGGGGCAAAGAGGGAACAAAGACAGTAAATGGTTAAACATCTGTCTTTGCAATATTGTTTAAATATGTCTGACAGACACCAGCCTGCTGTGTCCACAGAGTTATGGATGAGATATGAGACAAATTCACATGGACTACCAAGTCCTGTGGAGGAAAAGGGACGGCATGGCTTCCCTCTCAAGAGGAGAAAAAGCCTTGGAGCATGTTGGCCACTCTCTCAAGGGGAGAGCACCCCGACCCTTGCCGTAACAGGCTTTTATTGGGTTCAGTTTTCACAGGAATAAAGCTCATCAATCATTGTCAGGCAGAAATGATTAAACAATACATAACATTCAAAGAATTCTGAGTGCTTATTCTGAGTCAAGGTCAGATAGTTAAAGTGCCATAAAACTTTGGGGAACAAACTCACTTTCTGTTTGGTCCCTTATTATTTCAATTGAGGGTATTAGCAGAGTAAGTTTCATAGGATTTTATGCATTCTTTCTTAGGCCTGATAAACCTAGGGACCCCACCCCTTCTTGCACAGGACAGTATCCATCTCCAGCATTGTTTTAGGCTTAAGTCAGGCAGGGGAAGTAAGGCAGCCAAGAGATTAGGAGACTTCTTGCAGACAGAATGAGGACTCAGCCTATGTCAAAGCTGAGGGGCGAGGGTCCATCACCAAAATTTTCTATAGCCCCCCCCCAAGTCCTTCCCTGGGGTCCCCCTGCAATCGTGCCTGTCTTAGGTCATCTTTCCCTTGAGGAATCTTACCCATCACTGGCTAACCGATCAAGCATTGGGGGCCAGGCAGGGTGCAGTAAAAGGAGCAGAGGCGGCGCCCCTGCCAGGGAGAGAAGCTTTGTCTCCTTAGTGGCTTGTGGTCTGTAGGTTGCTCACTCAACCTTAGCCATGGGGGGATTATAGCTTCTGAAATCAGGCAGGGCAGTTCCCAACATATGTCCCCTCAGGTAAAGGCAACAAAAGAAAAAATAAACAAATGGGACTACATCAAAGTAAAAAGCTTTTACAACAAATAAAAACTCATAGATACAGACAATAGAATGTTGGTTACCAGAGTGGGAGGGGGTTGGAGGAGGATGAAAAAGGTAAACAGGTTTAAATACAAGGTAAGCAAAGGAGACTAGACTTTGGGTGGTAAGCACACAATAGAGTATACAGATGTTGCATAATAAAGTTGTACACCTAAAATTTATACAATGTTATGAACCAATGCTACAACAATAAATGTAATTTAGAAAAATAAAGCAGTTGCATAGTGAAAGAAACCACCAATAAGATGAAAACACAACCTACTGAAAGGGAGAAGATACTTATAAATGATATATCCAATAGGAGTGTTTTAATATACAATTCAATACCCAAATCAAACAATCTGATTAAATAACAGGCAGATGATCTAAATAGACATTTCTCCAAAGACATACGGATGGTCAACAAACACATGAAAAGATGCTCAACATTACTAATAATCAGGGAAATGCAAAACCACAAGGAGGTATCACCTCACATCTTTCAAAATGGATATTACCAAAAAGACAACAAATAACAAGTGCAGGTGAGGATGTGGAGAAAAAGCAACCCTTGTGCACTGTTGCCAGGATAATAAATTCATGCACCCACTATGGAAATCCATAGAGATTCCTCAAAAAAATTAGCAAAGGGACCACAGTAAAACCCAACAATCCCACTTCTCAGTATTTATCTGGAAAAAAATGAAGACAATAATCTATACAGATATATGCACCCCTGTGTTCATTGCAGCATTGTTTACACTAGCAATAAATGGAATCAACATAGGTGTCCATCAAGAGACGACTAGATAAAGAAGATGTGGTATGTTTATACAGCTGAATACTACTCAGCCATAAAAAGAATAAAATCTGGCTATCTGCAACAACATGAATGAACCTAAAAAGTATTAAGTTGTATGTCAACTATGGTTAAAAATAAATTTAAAAAAACCAAAACTCCAAAAACCCAAAACTACATCAAAGTTGGATAGAGATTAGGAAGGAGAGAAAACTGAAAGCTCATTTACAGCCAAAAAACCAAATGACATGTTTAATGTTGTGGCAAAAGAGAGGAGGGGGTTATTACTGGAGGTGCCCACTAAAATGCTAATTTTCTGAGGTACAAAATAAGAAATTGGTGCTTCTGTTTACAGCTCACTGCTATACATTTTTTTCTTTCCTCAGGTTTGGCCACAGCCAGACTTTGCTGACAGATTACATCACATACATGGACGAGCTGGGCTCCTTCATAGGAAGCAAGCCTAACATACCATGGCTCTTCTTGACAGACCCCCAGCTGGCCCTGCAGGTGTACTTTGGTCCTTGTAGCCCCTATCAGTTCCGGCTCATGGGACCAGGGAGGTGGGATGGAGCCAGGAAGGCCATCTTGACCCAGTGGAACCGGTCAATAAAGCCAACAAGGACAAGAGCTGTCGGTGAAGCACAAAGACCCCACCCTTTTTACAACTTCCTTAAAATGCTTTTATTCTCACTGCTTCTTCTGTCCGTTCTCCTTACATTTTATTAATGAGAAAGTCCTTTGGGTCTCAAAGTTCAGCCTACAAGTTTAAGTATCGATATGCCTATTCATGTACACATATAAAATCTCATAGCTGCTCTTTCCCTTCCTGCAGAGGTAAAAATGAATTCTGGCCAATTTGACTTCAAGTCCAAATAAAATGAAAACTACTCAGCTTCTCCTTCCTCATGAGAATCTATACTCTCAAAGGCTTTCCACCTGCTGAATTGGCAAGTTTGGAGATGCTGTAGATAAAGGAGATGAGCAAGTGAATGGCAGTGGACAGTCTGAACAAAGACTGTTTGTTTGCAGGCTGAACAAAGTTTAATAAACATTTTAAAGGCTGTTTTGTCATGGGGACCATCAACATCACTGTTGAGTCTCCCAGCCTATGACCCACTCGCTATACCTTTCCACTTATTTAGATCTTTAATTTCTCTCAGCTGTGTTTTATAGTTTTTAGTGTACAAATCTTTCCCATTCTATTTCAGGCTTACCCTAAGTATTTCACATGTGGGATGTTATTATAAAGAGTACTTTAATTTTTGCAATTTCCTACTGTTTATTGTTAACACATAGAAATGCAATAATTTGCTCTATGTAGACAGTCATGTTATCTGAAAATAAAGATAGTTTTTTTTCCTCCCATTCCAATTTGGGTGTCATTTATTTCTTTTTTCTTGCCTTATTCCACTGGTAGGAACTGCAGTATAATGTTGAACAGAAGTGGTGAGAACAGACATCCTTGCCTTGTTCCTGATCTCAGGAATAAAGCATTCAGTCATTAAGTAATGTTATCTGTAGATTATCTCATAAACATCCTTTAAGTTGACAAAGTTTCCTTTAGTTTCTAGTTTGCTGACAATTTTTATCAGGAACAGATGTTGGCTTTTGTCTGATGCTTTTTTCCTGCATCATTGAGATGATTACATGATTTTTAATTTTTAGTTTATAAATATGGTGAATTCCATCACCTAGAAATCCAACCTTGCATTCCTAAAATCCACCTTATGTGGTCATGATATATTATCCATTTTATATACTGTAGGACTATAATCATTAACATTTGTCATGGATTTTTGCATGAATGTTTATGAGGGAAAATGATCTGCATTATATTTTCTGATTTTTGTCTGGTTTTGGTATCCATGTAATGAAGGCCTCATAAAATGAGTTGTAAGTATTCTATTCTCTTTAACTTTGTGGAACAGTTGTGTGTAACTGGCATTAGAGCTTTATTAAATGTTTGGCAGAATTTACCAGTGAAGCCATCTTGGCCTGAAAGCTTTTGCAGGAAAAAATTTAAACTATCATTTCCAGTTCTTTAACAGATGTAAAATGACTCAAGTTATGTGTTTCTTCTTGGGAAAACTTTGGCTGTCTGTGTCTTTCCAGGAATTTATTCTTCTATGTAAAGTAATTTGTTGGAGACAGGACAGTTTTTTCAACCTAGGCACTGGGACAGCTGGATACTCTGGAAACTTACAGAGACATGTGGGGAAAACCAGAAAAATGCTACTTTGACTGGGGGTTCCTGTGCTTCAGAAACACGTTTCAGGGTACGAGAGTCTCCTTCCAGGCCCAACCACAACAGGGGAACGATGTCTTCCCCAACCAAGGCGCTGGTGGAAGTGTGGCTAGGTGCAGGGAGACCCTTCAGACCCAGAATATTTGAGCCAACTGGAAATTTCTTTGGCAAATTGACCCTGTTGATATCTTATGCAGGCAAATGGACAATATTAATTTTCATCAAACCGAATTTGATAGAATGTTACTTAAAAGTTGTGTACTTGGTCCTGTATAGTAAACAGACATAAGTATGCCCCTTTCCCTCATCTTCACCAATTATGCAAAATAAGATGAGAACAAAAGAACACTGAGGACTGACCACCTCTGAAATCCTTGTGTGCATCTATGTGAACATGTAGAGCATGCAGGTGTGTGGGTGTGTTTGGGACTGAATCTAGGGCACAGGTGGCAAACACAAGGCCCGCGGGCCAAACCCAGCCCTCTACCTTGTTTTATCCAGCCCAGCACCTTGTTCCTACCCAGCGACATCACCGAGCTCCTTGCCTCTAGTTAAGAAGTAGTTACATTTATACAGTCCTAACATTACATTTGGCCCTTTGAAGGCAACTGCAAGGCTGATATGGCCCCCCAGTTAAAATGTGTTTGACACCCCTGATCCAGGGTAAGGACTATAGTGGGCAAACTCATTAAAAAACTGAATATATAACACCTTTTTCACCAGGTCATTACCACTGATAATCCCTATTTTTAAATCAGATTAGTCGAAAAGCTAATAGTTAAGAAACTGTTCTGTTTCTAGTTATCAGAACCAAAAGAAACTTATTTTTTTTTAATTTTTAAAGTACAGTTGGGATATGATATATCAATTTAAGGTGTACAATGTTGTAATTCAACATTTATATACCTTATGATATGATCAAAACATAAGTATAGTAACCATCTGTCACCATATAAAGTTACTTATAATATTAGTGACTCTATTACCTGTTCTGTTTACTATATCCTGTGACATTTATTTTATAACTGAAACTTTGTACCTCTTATTCTCCTTCATATTTTCCACCAACACCCTCCCACCATCTCCCCTCTGGCAATTTATTCTCTGGATCTATGAGCCTGTATCTGTTTTGTTTTGTTTTGTTTGTCCATTAGCTTTGTTTTTTTAAATTCCACATATCAGTGAAATCATATGGTTTTGTCTGAATTATTTTACTTAGCATAATACCCTCTCAGCCCAACCATGTTTCAAATGGCAAGATGTCATTCCTGATGATGAAATATCTTTTTTACTGCTGAGTTATATCCGTGTGTGTGTGTGTGTGTGCGTGTGTGTGTGTGTGTGTCACATCTTCTGTGTCCATTTCTCTAATGATGGACACTTGGGTTGCTTCCATATCTTGGCTATTGTATATAATGCTGCAATAAATACAGGAATGCATGTATCTTTTTGAACTAGTGCTTAAATTTTCTTCAGATACATACCAGAAGTGGAATTGCTGGGTCATACAGTAGTTCTATTTTTAGTTTTTTGAGGAACCTTCCTACTGTTTTCCGTAGTAGCTGCACCAATTTGCAATCTTACCTACAACGCAAAGGGGTTTCCCTTATCTTAATATCTGTGCCAATGCTTGTAACTCTGCTGTTTTGATAGTAGCCAATATGGCAGGTGAGAGGTGATATTTCACTGTGGTTTTGCTTTAAATTTCCCTGAGGAGGTGGTGTCTTTTCATGTGTCTGTGACAAGTGCACACGTAACATGGTTACTGTAAAGACACTACCACTACACTGGACCTCCGAATAGAGGCTTCTTGCTTGACTCCATAACTAGCACAGTCCTTGGAGCTTCAGCTGACAGAAGGCTGGAGAAGCTCCTCCCTTTACTCACTGCCTCCTCCAACATTTAACCCCTTCTGACTGCCTCCACGCACACAACCCACAAAGCACACTGCTGCGGCAGACAGACTGCGCTAAAAGGCCTCAGTAAAGGTAGGAAGAGGCTGACAAGGAACAGCTCAGCCCTAAACTCTGAAACTCTCAACTCTGGGGAAAGTAACTGGGAATTTGGCTCATCTCCCTAGAACTATATCACTGATCACTTGGCTTTGTGAAATCAGTTGCATTTTGACTGTTAAACCAAGATTTTGTCAACAAGGCTTGCAGTAAAGCCCATGACACTTTGGAAATTCACTACTAAGGCATTTTATTCCATTCCAGCTGGTTATTAAATTACCACTGCCCTTTAGAGCCCAATACTCGGGCACACCATAACCATCTTCCTTTCCTTTTGCCCCACTGTAGCAGCACTGATTGATCAACTCTGTGACTAGGGACCACAGCAAAGACAGTAGTAGTGATCGGAGTTGGGGTCAGTGGCCTGATCTCTCTGAAGTGCTCTGTGGATGAGGGACTCATGCCCATCTGCTTTGAGAGGACCAAAGTCATCAGAGGACTGGGGAGGTTCCAAGTACGTGAACTCTTCTCGTTTCCGGCACAGGCTGTGCTGCTCTTGCAGGGTGAATCACAGCTACAACAAGGCTTGACTGGGGGGTTCCCTGAGCCAGTCCGACCACATGCACTCCATGCAGCCAGGCAGGGGCCAAGCACTAGACTGGGACACATCTCCCAGGTCGTCCTGTTCTAACCCACATGGTAAAGCCAGGAGCATCCAGAAGCTCTCCCTAGGGCTCTGTCTTGCAGCTCATTATTTCTGTCATTCTCAAAGCAATATACTAATATTAGAGTGTATTTTTCATTTACTTTTTATTATTTTAAATATATTTTATTGGTTATGTTATCACAGTTGTCCCATGTCCCCGCTTCACTCCCCTCCACCCTGCACACCCTCTTCCACCCACATTCCCCACCTTTAGTTCATGTCCATGGGTCATACTTATAAATTCTTTAGCTTCTACATTTTCCATACTATTCTTGCTCTCCACCTGTCTGTTTTCTACATAACATCTGTGCTACTTGTTCTCTGTACCTTTTCCCCCCTCTCTCCCCCTCCCACTCCCCTGTTGATAACCCTCCATGTGATCTCCATTTCTCTGGTTCTGTTCCTGTTCTAGTTGTTTGCTTAGTTTGTTTTTATTTTTGTTTTGGGTGTGGTTGTTAATAATTGTGAGTTTGCTGTCATTTTACTGTACATGTTTTTTATCTTCCTTTTAAAATATTTTTATTTATTTATCTTTAGAGGGGAAGGAAAGGAGAGAGGGAGAGAAATATCAATGTATGGTTGCCTTTCATGCATCCCCTGCTGAGAACTGGCCTACAAACCAGGGATGTACCCTGACTGGGAATCAAACCATGGTTGTTTGGTTCGTAGGCCAGCCCTCAATCCACTGAGCTACACCAGCCAGGCCATCTTCTTTTTCTTAGATAAGTCCCTCTAACAGTTCATATAATAAGGGCTTGGTGGTGATGAACTCCTTCAACCTGACCTCATCTGAGAAGCATTTTACCTGCCCTTCCATTCTAAATGAAAGATTTGCTGGATATAACAACCTTGGATATAGGTCCCTGCCTTTCATGGGAATACTTCTTTCCAGACCCTTCTTACCTGTAAGGTCTCTTTTGAGAAATCAGCTGACAGTCTCAAGGGAACTCCTTTGTAGGTTTCTGTCCCCTTATCTCTTGCTGCTTCTAGGATTCTCTCCTTTATTTTAGTCTTGGCTGATGTAATGATGATGTGCCTTGGTATGTGCTTTCTTGGGTCCAACTTCTTTGGGACTCTCTGAGCTTCCTGGACTTCCTGGAAGTCTATTTCCTTTGCCAGATTGGGAAAGTTCTCCTGTATTATTTGTTCAAATAACTTTTCCACTTGCTGCTCTTCCTCGTCTCCTTCTGGCACCCCTGTAATTCAGATGTTGGAATGTTTAAAGAACCTCCTGGACGTTCCTAAGCCTCTCCTCACTTTTTTGAATTCTTGTCTCTTCATTCTCTTTCATTTGGTTGTTTCTTTCTTCCTTCTAGTCCACTCCATTGATTTGAGTCCCAGTTTCCTTCCCAACACTATTGGTTCCCTGTACATTTTCCTTCATTTCACTTAGCATAGCCTTCATTTTTTCATCTAATTTGTGGCCAAATTCAACCAATTCTGTGAGCATCCTGATCACCAGTGACTTGAACTCTGCATCTGATAAGTTAGCTATCTCTTCATCACTTAGTTGTATTTTTTCTGGAGTTTTGATGTGTTCTACAGTTTGGGTCACTTTTTTTTTGTCTTGATGCACTTGTTACATAGTGAGGGGTGAAGCCTTAGGTGTTCACCAGCATGGGACAACCCAGTCACTGGATTGTGATGCGGTATGTGGGGTAGGGGTCTGAGAGGGAACAATGGCGCTTGTTCCACTCTGCCTGATTTCAGTCACTTCCATCCCTTCCTCCAAGCACACTGGGCCCTTCTTGTACTGACTCCCAGGTGGGTGGTTTTGTGTATGTTCGTTGGAGAGACCCATAACTCTCCTGTGAGGCTGGGAGTCTCTCCCAGCACCTCAACCCCCACAGGTGTTTTCAATTGGTGCTTTGAGGCTTTATTTCCCCGTGATGGGGCCCTGGGTTATGCAGACTGTCTCACTCCCCAGTTTCACCTGGTTAATCTGCATGCCAATGTGGGACTGCCCAGTTCTACCACCCACCTTGCACACCAAGCCCCTCCACAGTCCCCCACCTCGCTGGGTCTGCCAGCTACTGCCCTGTGCACCCATGGTCTGCCTGCTGCTATGTTGCATGCCCAGCATCTGCCAGCCACTCCTCTGTTTTTTGCCACAACCCCTCTCAGCCTGGCCGCCCAACTCCACCCCTCCTACCAGTGTGGATGAATGTGTCTACTTTAACTCCTTGGCTGTTGCACTTCCATACAGTTGAGTTTTCCGTCAGTACTGGTTGTTATTTTGTCCCTAAATTGTTGTCCTCATTTTGGTTGTGTGAAGAGGCACAGTGTATCTACCTATGCCTCCGTCTTGGATGGAAGTCAGAATTTTCTATATTTTATCTGATGTTGTAATTATTAATAAGCCCTATTTTACAGGGGGAACTGACTTATATAACTTACTCACAGTTTAAAAAGCCATTAAGGGTCACAGCATTAGGGTGTCAACCCCGTGTAACTCCAGAGCCCTTGTCTCTGTTCTGCACTACCTACAAAATTATCAGGTCCTGAGGGAAAAATAGGGTGGGTTTTCTTGTTTTTGTTTTCTTTTGGTTTTTGCTTTATGAAATATTTCTGATTTTGAGAACCTGGCTGGATGAGAAACTCAAGACATTCAGCCTTGCTGAGCATATTGTACCCGATCACACAGAGCCATCCCAAAAGAGTTTACACCATCCATTTGACTCTAGGATTTCACAATTTGAAGCTAATGTTTGAAAATTGAAGTACCATGATTTATTATTTGTGCAGAGTTCAGATCAGTGTATCTTTGTGTATGACACAGAAACCACTTCATATTTTAATACAAACTCTCTTTGCATTTTAATACTTAATGTACAGTAACACCACCACCACACCAAACTCTAATCACCTAGAAAGATGGCATACCCTAATATGACTAGTTTTTACCAAAGCATTTGAAATTGCAACAAAGTTATCATCTGAGCCTTGATTCTGGAACTGAATATATTTTAGAAGATCAAGCTTTTTGGCAAAAGTAATCTAGGAAATATAAACATACTGCTCATGAAAAAAGGCATCTGATCGCTGGCCTGAGTCAGCCTTAGAGGGTGGGTGGGTGGATAAATGGGTAGGTTGATGGGAAGATGGAGAGAAGAAAAGTGTGTGTGGGGGGGGGGGGAGGGTCTTTACAGACTTAGACCAACACTCAGCAAGGCTCTAGATATCGCTCCTAAATAACATGACCTGGGAGCAAATACTGTTTTAGCTTCGGTGACTTGTATGGATACTAATAATCTCTGTGAAACACAATACATATAAAGAGCATTCTATGTATAAAAGAGGCAAGATTCACAGTTAACTCTTTGAAGTTCAGGAACAGAATGAAGAAATAAAGTGGAGTCACTACAGCCAAGCTGCTAAATCACCATGATCGAGTAGGCTGAGGAATGAGGAAACGATTCTACTTTACTTGGACTGGTCTGGGAACTTAAACTTCTGACCCTTCCAGTCCTGCATGAGCGCCTGCATATAGATTAAACCTCCAGATGATCCTAAAGGACCAAGGGAAGGATGTTCATGTATCCAGACCACTTGTCACCTAGAGAATTACCATCTTGGATCAATCCAGAGGCTAACAGTGCAGGACTGATTGTTCTCAAGAATGTACTTGTTACTATAAGAAATCTTAGCTTTTCCTTCTTCTTTAGCCACTTCTTTCTCTGGCCACTGCCTAGCTGTGCTTCCTATTTGCAAACCTCAAGACCCTTGAAAAAATCTTTATCATGCATCTATAGCAAAGCCTCCAGACCCTTTTTGAGTTTGTTCAACAATAATCAAGTACAGCCCTGGCCGACTGGCACCTGGTAGCTCAGGTGGTTAAAGCATCATCCTGTAACCAAAAGGCTGAAGGTTCAATTCCTGGTCAGGGCATATACCTAGGTTGCAGGTTTGATCCCTAGCTGGGGTGTGTACGGGAGGCAACTGATTGATGGTTTTCTCTCACATCACTGTTTCTCTATCTCTCTCAAATCACTAAATATGTCCTCAGGTGAAGATTTAAAAAAGAAAGAGAAAGCAAATACAACTTCTTGTACAGAAAACTCAGGTGTGACACTGTGCGGCTGTGTCAGTCCTGGGGTGTCCAAGCATCTCCCCCAGGGCCTTTCCTACACTAGTGGGCGGTAAGCTGTAACTCAGGCTCACAGCTTCCTTGGTGACAACAGACACTACCATCTTCTACCGCTGAGGGGACTGATCTGGTCCAGGCTCATACAGCCTGAAAGCAGCAGATTTAAGGCTATGTCTAAGCACCAAGACCAGGCTCCTTCTGCTGGTCTGGGCAGCCTCTCTCAGTGCCCCCAAAATCTAAGGAACCTTGATCTAAAGATTGGCAGGGAAGTAATCACTTTTCTATGAATAAGGATGAGAAAGGTACATGTACAATTGATTTATTGTGGTCATGTAATTATAGTTGAATATTTACTTTCCTTTATTTACTATTATGTGGAAGAGACTATAGTGCCCTTTATATAAAATAAAGTCATATATTTAAATTAATTAACTTTACATTTCTTTATACCTCACACTAATGCTGAGCCATAATAGCAATTGCTATTTTGCCTGGATTTGCCTTAGTCTCTGCTTCGGCAGAAGTATCTACTAAGGATTTCTTGGTTGGCATAATTAAATTTTCTTATAAAAGCCCCTTTGATAACATGCTAATTTCAGGGACATTGAATCATTCATCCTTGGTTCTTACCGTGATTTAACATAAAGGACATTACCATTAAGCACAGCACTTCTTGTAGAGAAAATTATAAACTCAGCCATAGTGTGTGCTACCTCTGGTTCCACTGAAGCATACTTGGTAACATCTAAAGTCAAGTTTAAGGTTCAACAGGTGTCAGTGCTATTCACCTTTATTGCTTAAGGAAGGTTGATTGCCAAGAAACATAGAGTAAAGGGAGAGGATTCCAACCAAGTTGTGAAAACTCCTTGGCCCCCAAAGGACTCATTTTAATTGAAATTCTCCATTATGTTCTCTGAGCAGTGTCCCAGGGTTTATTAAAGGGGTGGAAGGTGGGTATATCCTCCCTAGGGAGAATTCCAGAAAGCGCTGGCTGTAGCAATGACTGACGTTAAGAAAGTAGAGACCTATGGTACTAAACATGGCCAAAGGAGGGTGGTTGCCACTCCCCAGCCCCCGTATGGTAATAGCCCCTCTGGGGGCCACTGTGCAAGGCCCCACGTAGGCCCTGCCACACAGGGTGACAATCGTGTACACTGCACCAGAGGGGACCACCTCACCCAGGGGTTAGATTAAAAGAAGAGTAGGGCTAAGGGATTTGTTTAATGCATGATTATCACTTTTATTTGATCTTTTAGGAAAATGTGGACGATGGGCGAGTGAGTATCTCTCAATCTGTCATCACCAGCACGAGCAAAGAAATGTCCCGTTTCAGTGACTTTCCAGTGCCTGAAGATTTTCCAAACTTTCTGCCCAATTTGAAGCTCCTGGACTATTTCAGGATCTTTGCCAAGAAGTTTGATCTTCTAAAATACATTCAGTTCCAGGTATTACATTTTGGGGGGAGTACTCTTCTCTGCATTAGAACAGATCACATTTAAATAAGAAGTTCCTCTGATACTGAAAGAAATTATGAATTAAAAAAAGTATTCCAATCCAATTCTTTGCCAAAAACTAAGGGCATGGTAGAAAAGCCAAAGAGAATGTCATTGTGCTGACATTATAAATTGTATACATTGACAGAAGAAAAAAATCACCTGTTAAGAGTAAAGGTTTGAATGATGATATTGATGGTGAAACTGCCTTTAAACTCATATTTATAACCACTGAAGAGTCCTATCCTCACTTCCCTTAAAAAAACCCATATGTAAAATATCAAACTTCTATTTCATTATTTTAAATAAACATGTGTCAACAATTTTATTTAACTCATTATCAATGAGGGACCAGTTTCTTACCTTCTCTATGTAAACAGAACTTCTTAGGAAAATGTGCTACAGCAACTCACAGTTTTCCATTCATCTAAGATGCCCATGGAAATTACGTTTGCTAATTATTTTTTTTCTGGGTGCCATCTCTTGCAAGGTAAAGATGTTCAGATCACTTTGAAATATAGCTAGAACTATCTTTCCTGTGTTTCCTCAAAAACTAATCATCAGCCCTGGCTGGTGTAGCTCAGTGGATTGAGCACGGGCATGCGAACCAGACAATCGCAGTTCAAATCCCAGTCAGGGCACATACCAGGGTTGCAGGCCAGTTCCCTGCAGGCCAGTTCCCAGCAGGGGACGCACAAAAGGCAACCATACATTGATGTTTCTCTCCCTCTCTCCTTCCCTTCCCCTCTAAAGATAAATAAAAAATTTAAAAAAAAAAAAACTAATCATCAGCAACAAAAAAAATTCAACATGCTGAATTTGTATCAATAACCTACACTCTAAGAACTAGTAACTGTGCTAAGGAAATTGAAATTACACCTCTGAATAAATAGCCCTTAGTGGAGTTTAAATTTTTAGCACATATCAGTGTCTTGGTAATTTTAGTTGTCCCAGGTTTATATTATATTAACTTATAACAGCTGATTTTGGTGAAAATCTGTATTTGTTAAGTACCATTATAATGTCCAGTTCCACCCAATGTAGTTTTTCCCCAATTCCTAGTAGATCCATCCTATAAATGACAGATTCTTTACACCAGAAGCTTTTATAGGTCCTTGTCACTTAGTTATCACTATATTTAATAGATATATTACCCTCTTATGATATGTAATTTATATTCTCTATTCTTTTAAAGATCATGTGAGAGTTGCAAGAGGACTACTTCTGCTGTTTCCTATTTCACTGCTAGAATTGTTTCCTGGAGGGGTTAGTAAAACACATTTCTGTTCATTGGTCTCTGAGCTGGTATAAGCCATAGATGTTAGGACTAACTCAAGATGTAAATGGCTCTGTTGCATTTCTAACAACCTCCTGAGTAACACTGAAGGTGTCAGTCCTCAAACAACATTTTTCTATTTTTTTAAGATTCTACTTATTCATTTTCAGAGAGGGGAAGAGAAGGAGAAACAGAAGGAGAGAAACATCAGTGTCTGGCTGCCTCTCAAGCGCTCCATACTGGGGACCAGGCCCACAACCCAGGCGTGTGCCCTGACTAGGAATCGAACTGGTGACCCTTTGGTTTGCAGTCCATGCTCAATCCACTGAGCTATACCAGCCGGGCCCTCACACCACATTTTGAATACCAAGAATCCACAGTACTTTAACTCACATACCACTATGGACTGCAAATCCGAAATCTTTCCTCTCAGCTGAAAATGCCGAGATGTGTTACAGTACTTTCATAAGCTTTATACTAACATTCCTTTTACAATTTTAAAGTTCAACAGCCTCAAACATTACCAATGGAGATTTCTGAAAAATATCAGAAACTTTGAAAAGCAGGCCTCAGATTGAAAATACTCACAAACAAGAGGCATATGGCATTCCTCTAAACATGAGGAAAGCTTGCTTCCATTTGACATTGTTCCTTAAATGCAACACACCTACGACCTCTATGTACACTTTTGAAACTCACAGACCTCCAGTGAGCTCCATGAAAAAAAATCAATGAAAAATCAATTATTTCACCCATATGAGATCACGACCAACACTGCCATCACGAAGTACCCTGTTTTGAAAATATGAAATAGGAACAAGTACCATTCGGAGTGTGACAGTACATCAGACGCCATGCAAACTGCTTCCCAAACATCTTCTCTAATACACTGTCTGCACAGAGGTGGATTCCTAAAGGGCCCTTGACAAATACTGACTGTGTCATCACTTGAATAATAAACATGTTTTACACCTTACCCAGAGCTTACCTTCCACCCCGGCGTCCTGCTCCAGTTCTAGTCTGCTGAGCGGGCCTTTCGCACAAAGCAGTACATCCTTGGTAGGCAGCTCCCTGCCAGAAAAGAATGAGAGGCCATGCTCAGCAGTCTGTGCCTTAGCTGGCTTGAAATGGGTTCAGACAAAACCTAAACAGCGTTGCAGATTGCACTCAACCCACGCCCACACTCCCAGGCCACTGCACAAGGCCCCTCTTGTGCCAGATTCATTCTCAATGACACCTTTTCCATACTCACTTAAGACAACTGTCCTCAGGGTAAGAAAACGCTCAGATTTCTCATCCTTTGGTTAGTGGGAGGTCATCATCAAGAACTAAGGCAAGGAGCACAGTGCGGTCTTCAAGCAGTGACAGTGTGCAACGGCCACCACATCCTCCCACGGAGGATGGTTCCACAGAACCATGCCCATGGACAGAGTCAGTGGGGAGGGTTCCTGGAAACTCGTTTGGTCCTGGACCATATGCTTAACCTAACATTTCTCATATGGTTTACACTTTTGAGTTTGTCAATTAGCCTCGCTATTGGAACTCACCAATAAGAGGGGAAGAGGCAAAACAAATGATTGACCCCACGAAGGAAAAGCTGACAATGCAGGTTTGTTGAAACTAATTTGACATAGTTAACAGGCTTCTCTTTTTTTCCTCCTGAAGGTATTGAGAGGTTCAAAGGCCAGTACTTTCACAGCTGCCCATCCAAGCAACCTGAGGGATTTGAGCGGAAGCACATCCTGGTGACTGGACTGGGAAACTCAGCCACAGACATTGCCATTGAGCTCAGCAAGAAGGCTGCTCAGGCGCAGTGCCTTCTGCTTACCTTGTACCATAGATGAGAGGAAGCGGGTGGGGCACACTGGGAAATCTGAGCTGTGTACTCATGGCTCCATCACTCATTAATTGGCTGATTGGCTGCTTGCTTGCTTGCTTGCTTGCTTGGGTATACTCAGTTGCTCCATAAGGTATCATAGAAAATTCTTGGTGTCAAGAAGCCAAAGTTTACCTCCCAGCTCTGCCTCTATCAGCTGTGTAGCCTAGACTGTCTCACTTCACTTCTCTGGGATACAGTTCTCTGAGTCTAAAAATGGGAAGTTTGGACCAGATTACATCCAGCCTAAGAGGCCTTGTTTCCACCCATGGGCCTTAGTGAGAAGTTGACCCATTCGTGTATTATATGAAGGTATGAGGGTCCATTTAGAAATTTAGTGCACATTTGAATTATATTTGAATATACATAGCCCTCAATTAGCCAGGGATCATGACAAGAAAGAGTAAATAGACAGTAAGACTCCCAACCAAGATCATAGACATTTAGGTGCGCACAGAGGCCATCCAACCATCGTCATCTCTGCACCTGGTCAAGAATGACACAAGTGAGCTGTCAAGGCATCGAGCCTTCCAACAGTTGATAATGTTGACAGCGATGGTTAGGAATAGCAGAAAATAAATCCCTGTCAGAAGAACACACCAAGGTGACCATGGGAAATAGCTAGGGTTCCTTTCTCCTCAAAGCCTTCCCTCCCAACAGGGCCTGGACCCAGAAGCCCTATCAGTTGTACACTAGCCTCCTCCACCTGGCTCCTTCTGGCTACACAGGACTTACTATGCCCATGTCCACAACTAGAAAAACTCTCCTGTCCTGAGTCTCACACTTGGAGACCTTGAGATACCAGCTAGCAAATGTGATAAACAAAAATGGTTCACCCTCGGCAGGTTAATAAAGGGCTTACATTGGAACCTGTCAAAGTCACCTATTGGTCAGTGCCAAGGAAGCAAGGGAGACACTCATGGAAATATTTAAATATAATCTCTTATATGTAATCAAAGTATTGTCAAGTCAACATAAGGGCAGCCATGGGAAAATACTGGATTACAAGTATGTTACCACACTCAGATGAACAATTTAACACTGGTGAGTATAGTTCCTACTTTACAAGCTGTGAGGTTGAGGCCCTTCCCAGCAAAATTTGTCCCCAAATTCTGGCTTACACCTGATGTCTGGCATTCTATGAAACTCCTCCTCCTGCACCCTAAATTTACAAAGTAATAATAACTAACAGACAATAGTTTAAACACTTTATTTTTATCACTTAATCTACATAGTAATACCATGAGGCAGGTACTGTTATTGCTCCCATTTTGCAGAAAGAAAAACTGAGACACAGAGAGGTTGAAATAACTTGCCCAAGGCAACACAGCCAGTAAGTGGTGTGGCTGGGATTCAAACTAGGGAGTAAGTTCTAATGTCTTCAATCTGGAGTGGATGATTTTAAAACTCCTAAGTAAACTGGTTTCCTTACATATGAATCATAGTTAGGTGTTTATCTAGGATAGTCTTATGCAACAGAATTCATAGAATGATAGATAAATTTTTTAGAGAAATTCAAATACGCATTTGGGCAATGGGGGAATAACAATAAGCAAGGTAAACTACATATCTGAATATATATATCAGGTAGATCAGAGATATATATTCAGATACATATATAGAAAATATATATACATTTGTATGTATATATATACATTTATATATATATATGTATATATATATATATAAAATGAGAGAAATCTGAGTAAGCAAGATAAAGAACACACTAGAAAGAAGACTCATATGTGCATCTGAAGAGAATGGGAATCACAGTACCAGTTTAGAATTTTAACACTTATAATACATAACAAGTTTCTGTTAAGTGTGAGAGGAAGTTGACTCCCCTGGTTAGTCCCACTCTAGGGAAATACAGACCCACGTGTGTATGCCTGTGTAGTCACTGGGTTGTCACTGCACATTTCCTAGGATTATAATTATTTGCCTTCAGTACAAAAGAAACTTGGGCAGGTAAAAAGGTGAGAAGAGGGAAGAAGTACCACAAAGTGTACCATAAACATGGTACAGTTTATGATTGGTGTAAGCCCCAAGATTTTCTCACGTTTTCATGAAAGTTCCTAAGACTGTTGTAGACTTCCTCTATCCATGTAAATATCACTGATACTTCTCTTATGTAAAATTGCTGCAGTGAAAACTGGAACCTACTTCACTTGGAGGTCAAGCATCTTTAAGACAAAGCAATGCAGGAATTTCTGGGGCCAGACATGTGATATATCACTTATATATGGGGGTTCCTCCCAAAAGGGGCAGTGCCCTCACCTGCCTTCCTTTTTGGTAACCAGATGTTCATCAGCACCAGGCAAGGTTCCTGGGTCATGAGCCATATGTATGACAATGGTTAATCCTGGGACACGGTCTACCACACCAGTTCAGCTCCATGCTCCAAAATATCCTGCCACAAATATTTCAAAAATGATGTCAGAACAACGGATGAATCAGTGGTTCAACCATGAAAATTATGGCCTTGAGCCTCAAAACAAGTGAAGTTATTTTGCTTTTCTTACTCATTGGCAAGCATACTCATTGGCAAGCACAGTCATCAGAGGTACCTCTCTTCACAAAAGGCCAAATGCTAATGTGCTAAGTTCAAGCTGCAGCCTAACAGTGTAGGTATCACAGGTGCTGCAGTTGGAAACCCAAACGTGTTCTGTATGCCTTCTAAAAGGTAAATACTTCAGAACATCAAGTAGTAATGGGATGAGCTACTCCAAGAACAAGGTCATGGAAAGAATGTCCTAATCCCGAGAGCTGTCCACCACTAGAAGGGCTGTTTTAGAGGACCGTGACCTTCCTTTCAAAGGGTCATAGTGAAAGTGTGTGTCCAGTTCTCCCTCTGATGACTCTTGCTTTGCTGACTCTGTCTGTGCAGCATAAGGGCTCCGCACGGGCCGCTTCTGAGAACACACTCACTGTCTCCTTGCCAAAAAAAAAATCTCTGTTCATCTCAAAGTTATACATCACTGACCTTATAAACATAAACAAACATTATAAATGTTTGTTTTTCTTTAGTTGATAATGAGATCCTTCCCTTAAAAAAAAAACAGTAGAGCTTTAGAATCTTTCAACAAGAGCTACATGACTGCTTTATCCTGAAATCTGATACATGTGGCATGTACTGCCTGGTATTTTTTCCAAATGATTCTTAAACCTCCAAGAAAAAGAATTTAAGAAATAGAAGCAGACTTCGCTTCCTCATCCAGGCTATCACATACAGAGACTCGATGGATATTTGGCATTAACAAATGTCCCCAAACTTAATTCTACATATTAATTTTCACACTGATTCCTTACTAATTATCTAAACTAATGAAAAATTTAACACATTTTCCTTTTCTTGTTTATGATCAGATAGAGATTAAGTGGAACAGCAAGATGATTAAAGGTACATAACAGGAAAGAATGGCAGAAGTATCAGTGGGCTCTCAACCGCTGCAATATGCAGGGACTGACCATAGGCACTGGCAATTCATCTAAGCCCTCAGAGGTGCTTCCTTTTTTGAAACATCTTCTATCCTCATCGCCTTCATGTTGTCCCTTTGTTGAGGGGAGAGACATGTGATGTGAAAATAAAGTCAAAGAGTAAATTTGGGGGCAAGCCAACTAATCAAGTTAGAAAGTTTTATGGATATTGGAACAACCTCTTTATTTTGAGAGCCAAACCCATAAAACATCAAGTGGGTTTATGACTCCTCCTTAAATGTCCCTTCTAAGTGTTTTCTTCTGCGTGTTTCAGATACCTTATGAAAGAAAGCATCTGAGGTAAATGATCACCTACCAAACCATATACTTTAGGGAGTCATCAAGGTGAAATCAAAAGTGAGAGAGCTCACAGAAACGTCTGCCATCTTTGAAAATGGGATGGTGGAAGAGGACATTGATGTCATTGTCTTTGCAACAGGATATGTAATCTCTTTTTCCTTCCTGGAAGATTTACTTGTTAAAGTGAAGAATAGTATGGTCTCACTATATAAGTACATGTTCCCTCCTCACCTGAAGAAGTCAACCCTTGCCTGCACTAGTCTTGTTGAGCCCCTGGGTTCCATGTTCCCAACTGCTGAACTTCAAGCTCGTTGGGCAACAAGAGTTTTCAAAGGTAAGTGAGTGTCTGAGGGTTTCACACCTGGTGGAGTTGACTCAAAAATGACTTTAGACAAGAAGGCTGCCAACCTTGGTTGCTCTCCCAAAAAGTTAGTGGAGAAGTCACAAAGACACAATAATAACAAATACTTGTAATTGCCCTTTAAAATATTAGAAAGCCATAAATTCTGATTGGCATAAACTGAAGTGCACACTATCCTTTATTTGAATCCTACAAGAACCACTAAGCAGGCACACATCTGACTCCTGGTTTTACCTATACGATGTTTATGAATTCCTCAAAATAAGTGCAAATCAATAGATACAGGGCCTACTCCACACTTCATTCCAAATTAACTCCTGATATCTAAGCAGTTGAATCTCACACATTCCTACAAAGTTCCAAAAGTATTGAAAAGTTTCTATCTGACCATCTGTGTACCACTTCCTACATCTCAGGAGGCTATTATTATCTCCTGACCCCAGGGTCAATTCAGCTCAACCAAAAGCAATGAATACCTAGCCTTGTGATGGATCCTGGTGGAACAGACAGAAATTTAAACTGATGATTAAAACATAATGAGACAGACACTTTGGTGGAGGGATGCATGGAATGAGTGGGAAGAAGAGAAAGGGTGCTTAGCAACAGCAAAGTGGAATAAGGGGAGGGCATGTGGCCAAGGAAAACTTCCTAGAGGACTGGGCCTCCCAAGTTCATAAAAGTGAGTCACTGGAGCCTGAACACAGGGGTATGAAGCCTATGGAGAATTACAAGCTGTCTGACATTCCTAGAACTTGGCATGTGAGGCAGAAAGAAGTGAGAGACTGTTCTTGGAGAACAAGGAGCCAGGACACAGGGACCATGTAAGGCATGCCAAGAAGCTTGGACAGAAAATGCAGACTGGCTCTTCCCAAACCTGGCCACACATAAAAATCACCCAGTGGACTCAGGACCCTGATGAGGTCTGGTCTGAGGTCCTGGGATCTCCCTTTTAGAAAGTTCTTCATGGGGGAGAGCGGGGGCAAGGGTAAATGCAGACAACTGTAATTGAACAACAATAAAATAATTTGTTGGGGTTTTTTTAAAGAAAACTCTTCAGTCAGGGTACCCAGTGAAAGGTTGTAAGCAAGGAACTGACACCAGAATGACAATTTTTGACACATTATTTCAGCATTCGTGGGGAAGACACCATATTTTGCTGTGTATAACATGCACTATTTTGCCCAATTTTTTAGGGAAAAATAAGGATGTACATTATACCATGGGTATAATAATCCCATGTATAATATGTACAAAAATGTAGGTGCACACTATACATGGCAAAAGGTATGTATGTAGACTGCCGAAGAGCAAATAAGGGCATCTCGGAGACCAGCGAGAAGGCAACTGCGACAGTCTACAGTAAATGTGCCACAGCCTGAGCCAGGTGGACAGGGTGGAGGAGAGCATACGGATGTGAGAAATCAGCAGGGCACAATGACTGGCTCAATGTGAGGAGATTAGAGGGGAACCAAGCATGATGACCTGCCAATCTCTGGCCACAGAAACTGGGTGTGGGCAGCACTTTCATGAATGGAGAGGGGGTGCATGGGGGAATGGACAGGGAGGCTTCAGGGATGAGCTCAGTTTTGAACTTGTTGAATCTGAGATGTCAGATGACTAGCCACATCCAGGGGAAACAGCCGTTTTTCACGTCTGAAGCTCAAGGGACAGAGTGGATGCACAGAATCATAGCTCACGCTGATAACGCTTGTGCCCATCTATTTCTCCAAACCCCACTGCCCTACCTTAGCTTGCACCCCTCTCTCTCTCACCAAGTTTACTTCAGCAGCCTCTTTTCCTAAGATTTTATTTATTTATTCTTAGAGAGGGGAAGGGAAGGAGAGACACATCAATGTGTGGTTGCCTCTCGGGTGCCCCCTGCTGGGGACCTGGCCCTCAATGCAGGCATGTGCCCTGATTGGTAGTCCAACTGGCAACCCTTTGGTTTCCAGGCTGACACCAGCCAGGGCTACTTCAGCAGCCTCTTAACTGAGCTTGCTGTCTTTATGCTCACCTCCCTAGAGCCCATTTTTCTAAGGCAGGTCTGATCTTGTCATCTCCGGCTGAAAACCTTCCATCATCTTCACAACACAGCTCAAGCTACTGGCATAGTTCCAACTCCTCAGGCTCATGTTCTCTCTCCAGCCTCAGTCTTTCCCTCCCCACCTCCAAGTTCATGCTGTAGCCTGTGCCCAAAGGCTAGCTCCACATAGAACCCAATGGGTATGGTGTACCCTGGAGTTCAACAGCAACAGCCCTGACTGGTATAACATGGTTAATGGTGAGAGTCTAATTGTAACAATCAGCCACTAGATAAAGTGATGATATTGAATCAAACCCACTACTCAAACCAGCCTTTTATATTCTAGGCTGTGTACCTTGCCCTCAGAGAAGACTATGATGGAAGACATTACCAAGAGGAACAAAAAAAGAACAGGCCTGTAAGAATGTTTTCTCAATCTTTACCTAGAGCAGTGTTTCTCAAAGTACACAGTGCTCTACCCACCTGTAAGAACTACCTAGCCACTCGTTAAAAAATGCACATTCCAAGGGCACAGCTCATACCAACCGAATCCAAATTTCTGGATGAGACTGGACATCGCATTTTTATATCCTTCCTAAGTGATTCTTATACCTAGTAGTTTAACAACCAACTACTGAAAGACAGAAATTTTACCAAACCAGAACATTTTTCCCTTGACTGAATTTCATTTACACTTTGTATGATGCCCACGTTAAATTCCCTAGTTTCTCAGGCCACCCGCACTCTGTGGTTAGATGGGGAATGGATGGCAGTAATGGCAGTGACAGTAGCCTGACTGTCTCTGAAAAGTTAGCTGAGGGACCTCCTATCCAAGTAAATCAGAAAGAGGATGTATGACATAAAAGTCAGCCATTTCTGCTTTGTGATGGAAGTGGAATGCAGTTCAATCAAGACTGAGTGCCGAGGGCTTGCCTCCTTGCAAACCACATCAAAACTACAACTAAACTGCATAACCACCACTATTCAGAACAGACAGAAACTGAGCTGAGTGAAAATCCTACCACCACAGAATTAAAGAAATAACCACACTGAGACTGGTAGGAGGGGTGGAGATGCGGAATGGGCTGGTCCCACACCGAAGTGTGGTAGATAAAATCTGAAAGAGATAACTTTTAATTGAGGGGTCCCAGCCCCACACCAAGACCACCAGCCCAGGGATCCAGTGCCAGGAATAATAGTTCCCATACCTTCTGGCTGTAAAAGCCAGTGGGGATCGAGGTTGTAAAATACAGAAACTGCTGAAGTCCTAGGCAGCTCCTCTTAAAGATTCCACACTTGGACTTCCTCAGATTCTCTTTCTGAGCTACAGTGTGGGGCAGCAGCTTGAAAGACACCAGAGACAGGAGAAGGAAATTAATTGTCTGGCACCAGGGCAAGAGCTGAGAGGCAGCTTTCTCCCAGACAGAAGTACTGGCAAAGACCATTGTTCCTTTTCTGAGCCCTCCCGCCCCACACAATGCCAGCAGGTGGGCAGCATGGTCTGAGACTCCATCAAACTGGCTCACACGAATTGCCCACCCTAGTGATTTCCTGAGGTTCCATCCTACCCAAACTTTAGGCCCACCCAAGCTGTTTCCAGGGACTTTTCCATACAAATGACTTCTCTTGGCTCATGCTTCATATTTTCCTAAACTCTCTCAGACACGTAGCATTTGTCCTCAACAAGCCCAATGCCTCTCAATAAGTGGTCCCATCCCCAGAATTAGAAGCAGCCAGCCTTGGTTCACAGTTTGCCTCACTCGGGTACACCCAAGCCCAGCACAAGGAAGTCATCTTCAGATTGCTTTGTAGCTTATTCCAGGTGGCCCCAGCCAGAAAACACACAGAGGCCGACCGTGGATAGCCGATACATCCCAGGAAGCCCCAGAGACTGCCTATCCACTAGACATCTACAAACCACATTACAGCACAACCACACAACCACCTCCACAAGCAATACACTCAAGGGGTGGACTCAGTGGGCACCAGAGGCCTGCTGAAGTAAGTCCTGTTCTGTGGAGTGGGCCCTACATAGCTGGTCCTCCACAGTGGTTGGAAGTTCACAGTCAGTGGTCACAGCCAGTCCTTGAAGCTGATCAGCCTGGGTAAATCCTTCCCATTGACCTTCTAATGGCAATCAAGTCTCAACAGGAGGGTGTACACAGCCCACACAGTGAGCACAATTCAAATACCCAGCTTGGAGAGGGGAGGCTGTGCCACTGGACCCTACAGAACACCTACTACATTAGTCCACTCTACTAAGCCAGGAAATCACAGCAGCTCTACCTGACACATAGGAACAAGCACAGAGAGGCTGCCAAAATAAAAAGACAAAGAAACATGGCCCAAATGAAAGAAGAGATCAAAACCAGAAAAAGAACTACACAAAATGGAGATAAGCAATCTACTAGATGCAGGGTTCAAAATACTGGTTGATTATCAGGATGCTCAATGAACTTAGGAGAAGGGTAGATGAACTCAGAGAGAACTTCAACTGAATAAAAGAGACATGGAAACCATAAAAAGAACCAGTCAGAAGTGAAGAATACATTAATTGAAATTAAGAACAATTTATAAGGAATCAACAGTAGAGTGGATAAAGCTGAGAATCAGATTAGCAATTTGGAATATAAGGAAGCAAAAATCACCCAGCCAGAACAGAACAGCAAGAAGAAAAATGATTTACAAAATGAAGATAGTGTAAGAAGCCTCTGGGAATTCAAGAGCAAAACATTCACATCATGGGGATGCTGAAAGAAGAGAGAAAGCAAGAAACTGAAAACCTACTTGAAAAAATAATGACAGAAAATTTCCTGAACTTGGTGAAGGAAACAGACATACAATCGCAGGAAGCACAGAAAGCCCCCAAACAAGGTGAACTCAAACAGGGCCATACCAAGACACATAATAATTAAAATGTCCAAGGTTAAATACAGAATCTTAAAAGCAGCAAGAGAAAAGCAGTTAGTTACTTATAAGAGAGTTCCCATAAGATGATCAGCTGATTTCCTAAAAGAAACTTTGCAGAACACAAGGGATGGCAAGAAATCCTTATTCTACCACCCAGCAAAGCTATCATTTGGAATTGAAGGACAGATAAAGAGCTTCCCAGACAAGAAACCATCTAAAGGAGTTCACCAAACCAATATTATATGAACTGTCGAAGGGTCTTCTTTAAGAAAATGGTCAAAAATATAAATAATAAAATGGCAATAAATACATAGTTATCAATTGAATGTAAAAATAAAATAAACAAGCAGGACAAAAACAGAATCATAGATACAGAAAACATTTTGATGGTTGCCAGATGGGAGGAGGTAATGGGGACAGGTGAAAAAGGTGAAGGGATTAAGTACAAATTGGTCATTACAGAATAGTCATGGCGATGTAAAGTACAGCATAGGGAATACAATAGCAAAAGGATATATGCATGACCCATGGACATAGACAATGGACTAAGAGAGTGACAGGTCTGGATGGTGCGGGCAAAAGGGGAATAATTGGGACAACTATAATAGCTTAATCAATAAAATATAATTTAAATATAAATATTAAAAAAACTGGAATCACATCCCATTGGAAAGTTGACTTAGAGACTTCATCCCATGAGGGGGTTAGCTCATGTTCAAATTCTCACTCTTCTGACATTTACTGAGTACCACATGCCAGCCAAAGTACTAGGCACTTTGGTAATTTAACAAGCTAGATTTAAGTGTCTCCTCTGGGCAAGACACTGGGGTAGGCTTGCATCTGTCTTATCTCATGAATCTTGGCAGCAATCCTGACTGGCTGGTACTTTGCTTTACTAAGCCGATAATGACTGTGGTTGCAAATGTTGTCACATTCCTAGAACTCCCATGTATTCATGGCTATTTATTTGACAGCCTACAGTCAATCTGAAACATAGGACTCCTGATGGGGTAAGCCAACATTTGCCAGAGGAGAGTCACTAAAAATTCATTGATTTGTTTGTTCGTTACTTCACTCTTTCAATAGCTATTGAATGTCTAATGTTCTTGCATAACTTAGAATACCTTGTGAATCTGCCCTTATTTTCTTCACCAGGGTTTGGAGAGAGCCAGACCTAGATTTTGCAGACCAAGTACATCGACTACTTGGATGAGCTCGCCACAGAGATAGGTGCAAAGCCAGACCTCCTCTCTCTCCTGTTCAGAGATCCTGAACTGGCTGTCAGACTCTATTTTGGACCCTGCAACTCCTATCAGTATCGCCCTGTGGGGTCTGGGTGATGGAAAGGAGCCAGGAGTGCCATCCTCTCCTAGGAACGAAGGGTATTGAAGCCTTTAAAGACATGTGCTCTGGAGCCGACATCTCATTTCCCAGTTTCCTTCCTGTTGCTAATCCTGGGGCTTCTAGCTGTGGTTTCGGCTATTTTATTCTAACGTCAATGGTACTAATCTGTCAGCTTTTGGCCTTATCATTGGTCAATTACCTCTTAGGAAAAGGAAAAAAATCAAAAAGAAAAATATTAAATCTATATTCTAAGTTTTAGAGTTGAAAGGAAAAGAGGAAGAGAGGTGATTGTGGAAAACTAGCAGAATTAGGCTTACGTATAAAACCAAAACAATGTCATGAAATATCTTTGCCATTTCACTCTTCCCTCAAGTTCACTAGACTCTCCAAAAAGGACAAAATAGCATGTCTAAATGGTATCACCAGCCCTGATGTAGGCAAGCTGTGTGGAAAACGGAAGAATTTCACAGAATGAACAGCAGGCCCCATGGTTTAAATCAACAGAAACTTTAGTTATGGGTAAATAGTTAAACTCCTGTGCAATATTCTGAACAGTCTATCCAACCCTATTTGGTGACACAGTTCTCAGACATTAGGTCGAGCTCCATTCGCTTAGTGGGGAATCACTCAAAAATACTGGAGAAAGAAAATGAAAATAAACTTTAAAACTACGTCAATACTCAGACGGACTTTTATGGCCTCATACTGAAAGCTAAGTATAGCTTGTTTTTTTAATCTTTCCCCACATTTCTTATCTTTTTCTCACACACTGAAACACTGCTGTAAAACAAAAATAAGCATTCCACAATGGCTGTCTATCACGTTTTTAGTCCTTATCTAGACCAGACACTGTGCTCTGTGCACATCATATGTGTTATTTCAGTTCATTCTCACAACAGTTCTGGGAGATGGGTACAGCTATTGTACCCATTTAGCAGAAAAGAAACCGAGACTCAGACCAATTAGATGACATGTGCAAGACCACACAGCTGGCCTTATGATGGAGCTGGGACCGGAACTCAGATGTGCCTGACTCTGGAGCTACAGACCATAATCTTGCCCCACAATATACTCAGTTACAAAATCACTAGTGGTAATAAAGTACCGAGCAGTTTATTTTATTTATAATCAGATAAATGTTACTTTAGGAGGACAGCACTCCTTGCAAATGTAATTGGGTTAACTGTATTTATAATATTTAGTTTATAATTCAGCTAGGTCTAAGAAGCATTTTAAAGTATTCACCATGAAAGACACCTGTATGTAACATTTAAGATAGTCACTGACACTTTGGAAAAACAAGCATTGAGGAAGAAGAGTATATTTCCTAAGTAGAAGAAAAGCATTATGCTGATTGAGCCTTGTATATAGTTCTGCCTTCACAGACAACCAAGGCAAAAAGCTAACCCATATGAGTATTTGCCGTCTGATAAAAAGAAGCATACCAGTTAGGACATGCTAACATTTTCTTGAAACTGAGGTCCAAAAGGGCACAAGAAATTCAATGTCAACACACACTGAGCAACATGATAAACATCTGGTTACGAAACATGCACTGAGCTTTGGGAGGTAAACTACTGTAAGCCTTTCAGAGACAGAAAAGGTTAGGGGTTAAAAGATTTGGGCAAATTCCTGCTCATGCTCCTGCAGAGCCTCTGCTAGCATTTTTCTTCACTTTGGCCATTTCTCCTTCAAAAGCCTGGACCAATGGAATGGCAAGCTCTGTCCATGGAAGCTTTTTCCTTCAAGTCCACTGAAATGATGTTAGCATTTAAATGCAAGATTTTTTTTTCATTGCTCCTGTCAGTAGAGGCCTTTGGGAAAAAACTTCAGATGATATATATACTTAGTTCTTGATTAAAAACTGATTACATTGCTAATTCTTAAATATTATTTGCAAGCCATTATATCAATACTAATGCAACCGAATGCAAGTCTGCATTGGAGAACCTGCTGCTTGGAGAGCCAATACTTGAGAGGCAGGTGCTGATGTAAAGGAAAGTGGTTTTATCCAGGTGCCAGACACCTGGAAGACAGGTGACTCTCATCTCGGAGCCCATCTCAGCATCTCAGGCACCCTGGCTAGTTTACATAGGAGGACCATGGGAAGAAGGAAACTAAGGAATTTCTGGCGATGTGCAGTTTCTCAGCTATGGGGGACCGTTCCTTGTGGCATGGGAAATGTAGCCCAGCCCCAGCTTGGAAAGGCCAGTAGAGAGCAAGGTCCGGCACACAGGACCCACGCACACAGATAGGTCCTCCCAAGGGGAATCAGGCCTGCACTGTACCTAGACTGCTGTGAGACTTGCTTTTGCTAAAAATCCCTTACCTGGATTGAGGCAGAAAATGTTTACTGCATATCTGTAAAGTAACTTCCTAAAATCTATGCTAAACTTTCCAAGTATGGAGTGTATGTAACCAGTTCAACCACTTTTCCCCTTGATCTGCAAATCCTTCTCTCTGAAGTAATTAGCAACATTCTTTCCTTTGTTATCTATAAAAGGTCATCACCTACAGCAAAATTGTGCATAGTAAATGAGGACCATCTTCTATGTAATGTACCCAGAAAGGCAATAAAAGCCTGTCCAGGCAGGGGGTTGGGGCCCCCTCTCTCTCTATCAGGGAGTGGCCATGCTTTCCCTTTTTCTCCACAGGACTTCTGTTTTCCATGTGTATTTGTCCGTCACAGCCACAACACATGGACCCTGCGGGCTGGGGGCCACATCATTCAGCTCTGCTCTTGGGTGTTTCAGTGTCACCTCCTACTTGTGTCATCACTCACCTGGTTTCATTGCTCCCTCTGCGGTTTCACTGCTGGCATCTGGGAACAGGACATGGAGGCAGTGCTTCTGCTGGTCCTGATGTGAGTCGCTGCTGCCTGCCCCATTTCTGGTGGTCAGAGCCACTCCTTGGTCAAGCAGGCTGTCTATGAAACACTTCTGCCCCGGCTGGTGTGGCTCAGTGGATTGAGCACAGGCCTGCAAACCAAAGCATCACCGGTTTGATTCCCAGTCAGAGCCTATGTCTGGGTTACAGGCCAGTTCCCTAGAATGGGGTGTGCTAGAGGCAACCACACATTGATGTTTCACTCCCTCTCTTTCTCCCTCCCTTCCCCGTCTCTCTAAAATAAATAAATAAAATCTTTTAAAAAAATACTTCTAAGGAAACTTTTCATAAATGAATCTTCCATGAGTTGGTTAGTACCATGCCATGGTAAGTCAGAATAGTATAGTGTTTATCCTCTGATACAACTATAATAGGATTTATCAAGCCTTTATAACAGCAGTAGCAATTCAGCCTACTCCTAATTTCTGTAAATAAAGTTTAATTGGAGTGTAGCCACATCTGTTCACTTATTGTGTCTACTTTCAAGCTGCAATGGCAGAGCTGAGTAATAACAACAGAAAAAGTATGGCCCACAAAGCCTAAAATGTTTACTATGTGGCCCTTTGGGGAAAAAAAGTTTTCCAATCCCTGCTGTGTGATGTGCCAACCACTGTCCTAATTATTTGTCACAGCCTCATTCATAATTACCCCATTACTATAGTTACCATCCTACTTCTAGTGGAAGAGACTGAAAAACAGTTGTCGGATTAACGCTAAATCTGTGGGGGGAAAGAGCTCCATGAGGAAAAGCTTATTATTAAATTTATATCCTTAAAACTTTTAGAAAGGAGATGATCTCTTGAACTCCTTCTAAGTATTCTGGTTCATTGGGTTAAAAAACACAGAGTTCATTTCTAGAGTTTGAGATTGACTAAGAAGGACCATCCAAGTCACTCTTCCGCCTCCATACATCCTGGAACATAAAACTGTCCCAAACAAAGCATGTGGGATCGTTTGTTCCACACAATGACGCACATGCTTCCTGCACTGGAACACCTCAGGGAGCTTACAGAAGGGCAGATTCCTGACCCCACCTGGAACAGTAATTCAGACCTGCTGAACCGGAGTCTCTGACGGAACCTCCAGTCTTGATGAGCTCCCTAGAACATCCTTGGCATTAAGTCTAGGAGCCATTCATTTGAGGCCTCTACAAAAAGCTGCTTTCAGAGACCGGCCCCGACCTTTTCCCCACGTCAGGGCCACATTTCCCCCTAGGTGCAGCCCTGGTGCCTCTTGCTGTAGTTTACAATGTCAGCTAGTTAACAGCCTCCTCCCAAACGCCGCCCTGTGACAGTCCCCTCACTAACTTTCCATTTCAATTCTCCTTCTCCATATGGTAACTCCTTGATTTTCCTACTGAAAGCCAAATATATCACATCTGTTCTTTACAGAAAAATTAAGATATTTTTAAATAAAGCCCTTAGGCCATGATATATAACAAAATTGCAAATAATAAAGATTTAACACACTTAACCCAGAAAGAATCCAGCATTCACATTATAATGAGGGTGGCAAAGGTACATTCTTCCTAATAACTGGTCTTTCATCCTGGAAGCTGCTATTACTGACCTGCAAACCACCCTTACCCCATGTCCCAATCCCGTGCAGAACTTCTGCTTGTTCCCTGAGAGGCGGGATGTTTACACAAAACATAACTCACTTTGCTGTCCAGTCTGCCTTATGAACAGATCCTGAATTCACGAGGCTTAAAAAAAAAAAGGTTCCCGCCCTGGCTAACGTGGCTCAGTGGATGGAGCGCAGGCCTGTAAACCAAGGAATTGCGGTTCAATTCCCGGTCAGGGCACATACCTGGGTTGCGGGCTGGTTCGCAGCAGAGGATGCATGAGAGGCAACCATACATTGATATTTCTCTCCCTCTCTCCTTACCTTCCCCTCTAAAGATAAATAAAATATTTTTTTTAAAAGGCTCCTTATATTACATTCCACTTAGTCCAAGTCAGATGCCAAGATGAGATGAAACATGCAAGGGTTTTTTTGTTTGGTTGGTTTTCGGGAAAATGCCTGTATGAGGATAAATAGAGACAGCACAGGCGAAAGCCAAAGGCTCATCAGACAGCAATGCATGTCTGACCCTGAGTGAAGCAGAGAGGGAAGAGGCACTGGGTAGAAATGCCCTAGATGAGGCTGTGCAGCTTGAGGAAGGTGTAGCTGAGTTCTGGGCAGTCCCTCGTGTCCTCAGAGAAGTCCTGACTCTCCCGTGAATGATCTGCTTCAGTCTCCGCCATATCCATCACTGCTGGAAGCAGCTCATAGGAAA